AAAATATATTGGAATCATGGAAAACGAGACAAATAGTTTTTACAATGTTTATTATGTCTTTGTTATTGTCACTGAGTAGGATCCTTCCCTTTTTATCATCCTTTCCTATGTAAGGGTACAATGGTCTTTTTCCATCACATCTCCATTTCCTTCTCCTTACATTTTGTGTCTAACCATGCCCTGTGCATAGAGATTGACATCTTAAGATGTGCACTGTGTAATTTTTTCATAGGAGAAAAGGAAATAACTTTTGTTTGAATAATTAGCTTTTTGGCATTGGAAAATTAATCTAAAAAGCTATTTATACATTGAAAGTAATTATTTAAAATCTCAACCTTTCCAATCATTTACTAGTAGTTGTCCAGACTGCCTTAAGGTTGTCAGAGGTAAACAACACCCCCCAATTTTTTTTCTAAAAAAAAGATCAACAAGGCACTTAGGAAGAGGAAGGGGCCGTGATAGCTGCATCTAATATGATTCTGAGACCTTGTTTTCTATTTAATCCTAGCTGTCAAGGTTGTCTTTATGGTGTGGTTTGCACCGAAGGGAGTTTGGTCTCATGATCAAGTGGGACTAAAGTGATACTAGGGAATTCTGGTGGTTGGCCCTATCATATTTGGTATGGGTTAGGCTTTGAAGCTGTAATTGGATGTTTCGAAAGCTAATGATATCACATCGTTTGCGAGTTAATCTTTTCCTTTTGTATTAATTTTAAGTTGAGAAGTCAGGGTCTCATCCTGTGCCCTTGCTAAGGTGTGTGGATGGGAGCTGGTTCAACCTTTTGTGTGTATATTTTATACTGAGGACTATTCTAACATCTCTACAAACAGTACTGTGAATCTTCATTTGTTTTAATGTTATCTTTCAGTTTTGAAGTTTTTACACACACAACACACGCCCGTCTCAGTTTATAATACTGAGGACTTTTGTGAAATTATTTTAAGCAATACATGTGTGGCGGTTAATACATATATCTGATACACACGGTAGCTATGTGGTCCAAGTCTGCAAACTATGGTGGATAGTGAATACTAATTCCATTTCACATGATGATGGAGGTTTGCTCTTAGAATCGTATTTCCTTTTTTCTTCTTTTTATAATTTTAGCCATACTATGGATTTATACATGGTGATTTCAGAATATCTAGGAGTTGGGTGGGAGGAGTGGAGCCAGGGGGATTTATTGGCCTCTTATATGTATCACGTAGGGATAGTGGTAAGAAAGGAACGATAGGGAGAAATATGGAGATACAGAAGAACAACGGCCAAACAAGCAGGAATATGGAGATTCAGGGGAATAAAGGGGGAGGAAACTAATATTTTTCATGACTGAACTGACTGAAGTTTACTACTGCGGGTTTATAAAGGAAACTAAAGAGTAAAGACACATGCTTAAAGCAATAAAGAAAAAAGTAGGAAAGGATAATTCTGATTGAAGCATTATTTTAAGTGGGTTTTTCCCCCTACTTAGGTTTATGTTAATTGATATCAAAGCTAGCTAGTGGTTGCCAATTTTGGAAATGGCTATTTGTAGATGGTTCTTTCCAATGAGAAGGGTTCTTACCAATGAGAAAATCGAGTGAAGTGACACGAAGTATAACTTTGGAGATGTTGGGCCTCTAGGGGAAGCCAGTTGATGGAAATTAAGGTGGTATGATAATGATATGCTCAAGTCTTACGTTGAGTAGTATGAGATGCTCTATGGGGTATGTAAATGGGCTGGTTCTTCTACCTCAGTAACTAGCATTTAGGAGAGAGTTCCTCTTCACTCTCCTTTGTAAACCTCTGTTTAGGATAGTTCCCCATTCCACTTAGGTACTCATCAAACATCTTGGAGGGCAATGATGCAAGCAATGATGACAAAATCAACTACGGACTCTTCAAAACTCAACATGTCAACAATAGCAAATCTAAGATGGCACAGCACTTTGTTTGAACCTGATCTTGAGGTCCTGCCACTAGGGATTTAGTTTTCCCAACCTTTTTCATCTTTTATGAGCATTTCTATGTGTTTTTCAAAATTTTCATGTTATTTACATTCTAACTTCGTCTTCGATCCATTTTTTTAATTTAACGTGATAATGTCACTGCGTTGCCGCCAACACCACCAATATCAAATGAGCATGTAGATTCTAGTGATTCTACTGTTATGACATTGTCGGGCTCTATCATGGTGGCATAATCTTGAGAATATTTTTTTGTTCTAATTTAGATTGAAACTGAGCTTGGTCTTGATGTTTTGTCCATGAGTAATACAAGCCATGACAACTGACAGTGATCAGGAAAGTCATGTACGGCATTGATAGGATGAGACTTGGTATTCATTAATTTGTTGATTTGCTGATGTAATAAGGCTATGGCGCCCTGCAGTTTTTCTTGCTTTCAGTCTACTTAATCACTGTCCATCATATTTTTACGTCAGTTTCTTGTTGTCCCTACTATGCTGAAGGCAAATTTTAACTTGTTTTATTGTGTCCAAAATATGTGCTGCCTATGCAATAGCAAACTGCAAGAGTGAATCTTATAGCCCAAAATAGCTTAAAAAACGCTTCCAAAAGATTGCAAAGGGAAAATTTTGTGGTGAGACGAAAAAGAAAAAACTGACTGGGGCAGAACCACTGGAGTGTGGATGTCTAATGCACTGATGGTAACAATCAGGTATTGAGGTTGGGCTGGTTTTGCGGTTTTGCTTCTCTTGGTATGGTTGCTGTATATATATGGGTTTGGTGACCTGGGCTGGTTGAAATGATGGCGTCAATAGCGGTGCTGGAGGGTTTCCACATTTTCCTGTGTTCGCAGCCACACTAGCAAATTTCTGAGGATGGCGGTTTGCACCAGAGTTTGCCCATAATGCCTCCTGACGTGGGAAGGGAGGGAGAGGGAGACATAGGAGGATATAGTAAAAGGGGAGAAAGTAGAAGGAGAAAGAATAAAATCTTATATTTTTACTTGGTGTATGACCAAATGTTTATAAAGGAAACCAAGTATTCATGCTTAGAACAATAAAGGAAACGGAACTAAAGATCGTTTTTATATGAGCCTCTGCATTTATTTAATCACTGACCAGATCACGCCCAAATATTCTTTCCCCATTCTTCATCAGTATGTTTACTTCACTTTTTGGGATTATAAAATTCTTTGGAGGTATTGTTAATTCAATCTCAATTTTTTATTGTGAGCCAATTAGTTTCTATATTTTCATTTGCTTTGTGGGAGGTGCCACTATATTGGTTTGTCTCAAATTTGCAATTTCATTACTAGCTGCGGAGTTGTCAGTAGCTCGTAACCTTTTGACCATGGTATTCTGCAGGGTACTTTGAGGGACTTATCTAAAAAGAACCACGAACATTCTCTTGCACCAGCTGAGCAGGTATGCTTTGATTTTATGATGATGCCTGCCTGCTTTACCTCAGTCGTTTTTTCATTCACTATTTTATTTGTTTACCGACCGTTTCCTCTTTAGAGGACAACCGTTTTTTTTTTCCCCCCCCCCGGGTGGTGGTGTTGGTTTACCATTTCCTTTTATTTATTTATTTTTTTGGTGAAGATTTCCTTTTATTTTAACTTCAAGGTAATGTGAGCATTCTTCTGTCTCTGTTTGGCACCTGATGAGCAGGTTGAACGGGATGATTCACATTGTCGGACCGCTAACCCTGCACGTAACAATCTTGGTGCTTTCACTGATAATGATAAGCCAGCATAAATGATCTTTGAGTTTTCCAGTCACAGAAAATGCCAATCATTGGCTTTAGTATCAGGGTTATAGTAATTTATTCGGTTTGAGCTCTAGAATGTACAGCTATAGCATATGATCTTATCAATACAAGAGGTTTATTTCTCTCCATGCTTGATAATTTGCGCAACCCGTATATTCTGGATGTATACTGGAGTCTATATGATATCATGGGGATTGCAACCAGCTGTTTTAGTTCGACCATGATATCTCTGGATTTGCATGTAATATCTGCTTTATTTTTGCGTTTTGCACCTCGATGCATATTGATTGTGCAGGTTCTCATGGGTAAGCTAATATTTGACCGAAGTTTTTTGGGACGTAGTCGACGCATACTTGGAGAAAAACTAGAATAGAATCCATCAGGGGGTAAAACTTTTGCTCGAGCTTTATAAAAATGGGAAGACTGTTATTGGCTATGAAATGTGGCATTTGAATAAGTAATAAAATGGATATCGTACTATTTGTGAGTTGTAAACAATTGACTTGCCCCTCGAGCCTTATGCGGTACAGGACCATTTTGTTTGTAGCTGGATGAGTCAACCCATTATCTTGATTTGTTCGGCTTAATGCCTTTTCGTGAACGGCAATCTGCTGGGTTAATTTCAAGTTAAAAAAATCTATTAGGTTAATTGATATCGGCCTATATGTAAGGCAAATAGTATTTGTGAGTTACGGATAACATGCTGAGGTAATGGATTATCTTGAATTATTTTGGTTGGATGAAAATAATAAAAAGTGAAATGAACGTTGTTAAAAGTATAATGCATTGCTAAGTGTTCCGCTTGTATGGAGGGCTGGTGGGTTCAATTCTTCTCCCGACTAGTTTAGCCTTGTTCTAATGCAATGCCCGCAATATAAAAATAATATAAAGATTTACAAGAATATAAATTAAAATTGTCATTAGGACAAAATCTTGTTAATCATCATTAGTGATTGTATATTTATAGGTAATTTTATAATTTTAGTTAAAAAAACAAAAAACAAAATGATTAATTTTTATTTCAAAACACTCCTCTTTTAGTTGTTAATTAGAATTTTAAATTATCAATATTACGTAGATAAAAAGACATACAATTTATAGCATATGTGGTCTAGCTGCCCCGCTGGTATATGTGCAGGCTGTTGCCTTCCATGGAATAATAAATGCTTTTTGAGTATTTTGATGTTTTCCCCATGCCTTTCATCCTTGCTCACCCCCACTCTTTCGGTTTATAACTGCATAGTTGCATGGCTATAAAAGGTTCTAAATTCTAGATTCTCTCAGAAATTCTTTCAATTGATCATCATGGAAATCTTCTACTACTTTGTGCGTGCCTCTCTCAGAAATTCTTTTACTAGTTTATGACTAATTATAAAAAATTCCAATTCTCAATCGGGTAATAATCTCGAACGCGGCCCCTGAACTATCTGCGCCTAGTCACCGGAGATTGCTCTTTAAAGCAAACTCGCACAGAGATAGAAATTCCCGACACGTCGTACGTATAAAAGAATTAACAGACAAACTCGTTAGAAGCATCTTCAAGAAAACAGGCGGCCTCCCTTGCTGATCTTAGAATCGAGGATAGATGTTTCGTTGTCATCTCTCCTCTTGTTCTCGAAACTTCTCAGAATTGTAAAGTTGATTTCCACACTTGCGTCAAGGGCTTGTAGAAGTGTTACAGTTGCGAAAAAAAACTGTGTTTGACCGATGTAACTGGTGATGAATTTGGGGCTTTGGTTACGGGTCAGTCCATGACCTGTGGGGTTTTGGAGGGAAATTGATGGCAGCCGTGAATCCGCAACCTTTGCAGGCGCGTCCATTCGAGAAACGCGTGCGGGACTCAGTACCAATGGAGGACGACGACGGTGACTATGAGGATGGGGGTGCTAGTGGTGATGCTATGGATGACTTGGAAGAGGGAAATATTAGTTCAGTGACTGTGCCAAACGACGGAGGAGTTGTTACGACTTCCCGAACTAGTGAGCTCACTCTCTCTTTCGAGGGTGAGGTTTATGTGTTTCCTGCTGTGACACCGGAAAAGGTAATTAATTATATTTGTTTGTTTATCTGTAATTTATTTTAGCCTTTGCTCACCTCGATTAGTCAGCTTCGTTGAATTTCGTTGACTTCTGGGAATGTCGACTGTGGGAAAACTAAGTTAAAGTGAATGCTGTGCTCTAGTCTTAATGCACTGAAGGATCAGGGGACAAAAGACGTGAACTTTACCTGCATGTTTTACAATGTTCTGATACCACACACAGCACATTATCCATCAAAAGCGTTACGTCATAAGATATATGATCTCTTCTCCTGTGATGAATATGTTCTTACTCATCTGGTAATGTAGGCGAGCAGTTCACAAGTTTGTCGCATATTTGTTATAGTATATTGAAATTGATGCTATGCATTTTGTACGTTACATTTTTTTTTTGGGACCTTGTTTACCTCCCTCTTATTGCTAGACCAGTCAAGCACGTTATGCCTGTTCGATCGAATGCTTTAATAATTTTGATGTTTGATTGCTTTCTGAAGCATATTGTTGTACCGTGCCTCCGTTGGCTTTGAACATAATGATCCCTCTGTTTTATTCTTCGAGATTAAGATCGATTATTTGATGTAGAACCAGTAAAAATAAGGTAGAGAAAAAGGAGGGGGAGAAGGAGAGGTAGATAACAGAGAAATGAAATAGAGGGTGAAGGGGGGAGATTAACATTTGGTGTTCAAATTTTGCATTGTAGGTGCAAGCTGTTTTGCTGCTTTTGGGAGGACGTGATGTGCCTGCATGTGCTCCTTCTATTGAAGTACCATTTGATGAAAGCAACAAGGTAATGCAGCTACTATTTTATAGTAGTTGGTTTTTAATTTGTTTAACGATTTTATGTTTGAGTGTGTTGTCTGCTTCTATTTTTAGGGCATAGGTGATACTCCTAAGCAGTTGAACCTTTCAAGAAGAATAGCCTCCTTGGTTAGGTTCCGTGAAAAACGCAAGGAAAGATGTTTCGACAAGAAGATTAGGTACTCTGTGAGAAAAGAAGTGGCGCAAAGGTGAGATTAAATTTTAATACCGCACCATTTCGCCCCTAAAAATTGACCATTGGTTTATATATTATAGAGTTTTTCTGTTAGAAATTGTATGACTTGCAATAGTTTCATCATTTATGTTCTTCTATGAATGAGGTGGATCTTTGCATATCATTTGTGAGTTTGGACACAATGTCTTCCTTTGTGCAATTGGCCCACAAATGAAGTAGGCTACCATCTGGTCTAACCCATAAAATGATGTAAATAATTTTTGGATAAGACTTTTTATAGTCGTCTTTCTTGATAATTAAAGTTTTGAGAAAACTGCTTTTTGGCCCCTATGTCTTTGAATTTATAACTGCCTCATCAGTTGCGTCCTGGACTGTTTCAAGTCTCCTCATAAATTGAGTCCTTGAATATCTTATTACACCTCATCAATTGCTTTTTTTTTTTTTTTTGGGTAATAAATGGTCTTGTATATGGGTTCCAAGAATTGACCTTATTGAATTTGATGTTATTTTGAACTTTCCAGTGAAATCTGACAGTTATTATTAGGCAGAGTCCTCTCAATGCATGATTAACTTCTTCTAGTGTTCAGTTTACGTTCTAATTGTGCTTGAAGGTTGATATCTGCTTCTTTGTTAAGTAGGTGGTTTTAGCACTAATGGAGTAATGGGTTTTAAATTTCATTTTGTTCCTTACTTATCTTTTTGTTCTTTTTTGGTTTCCCTTGCCAGGATGCATCGCAAGAATGGGCAATTTGCATCCTCTAAAGAGAGTCCTGGTTCATCTAATTTGGATTCTGCGGAAAGCTTTCATCAGGATGGCACTCATTCCGGAACTTTGTGAGTTTCAAGCTAAGCCGTCCAACAAATGTGTTAATTGTTATTATCTAGAAGTTCTTCTGAGTATTTTTTCCCCCTCCAACTGTATTTTTGCAAAAATTATGTGTGCTCCTCACTTGTTTCTCATGTCCTGCAGACGTAGATGTCAACATTGTGGTGTTAGTGAAAATAATACTCCTGCAATGCGTCGTGGTCCAGCTGGACCAAGGACTCTATGTAATGCATGTGGCCTTATGTGGGCAAATAAGGTCGATCTTTGTCTTCATTCCTCTTAATTAAAATTGTTTCAGCATGAGTTATGAAGGCTTGTGCTTTGTCCACAGTTCAGGCCCCATAGGCTTTCATATGGGGGCGTGTTACAAATTTTGGTAAAATTATTAGAGTTTTCATGTGAGAATCTAAGATTTTGAGTTGAATCAGTAATTGACAATGATAAATGTGCTTTTCAATGAAATGCTTTGTGTGAACTCATTTTTATTGAAGAGAGACCATGCGCATATGTAGAAAATGAAAGAAAACTGGAATCCCGCTCCAACTAAACTACATAACCAAATGCTAATTTTATTCCAATCCAGATAAAATCCTGCAACTAATTGTAAATGCATAATGGTGTAAAAAAATCTAGAAACAAATACACGTTACTTAAAGAAAAACATATAAAATACAACCAACTTATTTATAATAGAAAGAGAACGTAATTTTCAACAGGTCAGTGGACTCGTCTGGCTGCTGTTTTAGATAATTGCTAACTAAGAAACGTAACTCTGTGGCACAACTTTTGAACTATTTTACTATTATCTGTATCAAACCATTATTTATAGTTGTTTGGTGCATCATTATGGTTATGATTGGAACTGAGGACCCAAAGATATAACCATAGGACTTGGATGTGCGTTTCTCTAGTCAGCAGTTTTGCATTTTAGTATACCCTGCTATTCTTGTTTGTGTCAGTGGAAAATAAGATGTTTTATTCTGACTAAATGGTATTGTTGTAATACAATTTTCTTTCTGACCATTAAAATCTAGTTGACTGTTTTTGTTCATTAACTGTTGATCCCTCTAACTGTTTTGCACTTTTCCTGGAATCTGCTTGATTCTGACAGGGAACACTCAGAGATCTCAGTAAGGGAGGGAGAAATCTCTCTGTTGAGCAAAGTGAGCTGGTATGTAGGATGGGTTACTTAAGTTTTTCCTGACTTTGTGATGCAACACACACTGACACACACACTTCTACAGATGCAAGCAGAGGGGTTGTGGGAGAGAGATATGGAGAACAGAGAGAGAGAAAAAGGGGGCAGCAGAACAGTGATGATGGGGAGATGATAGACAGAAAGCAGGAGGGAGATTAAGCTGAGAAATGAAGGTGGGGATAAGACCAGAAGGAAGGGGAATATATTAAGAACTTGAGGTTAAAAACATGAGTTTAAGCATCTCAAGCCAGACTCTACCCAGTGTTCAAATTCACCTTAAAGCCTACTATTTTCTAGACGTTAGGAACTTATTGGCAGAATGACATACTTCATTTTCTTTCCTTTCTTGCTTCTGAAGCTTAATCTATGTGCCTCTTTGGAGCTCTGATTTAACTCCCTGTTTCCTCTATTTTTTGCTCACAGAAGCTTTTCAATCAGATTAATAAATTATTTCACGAGAAGTCTCAGTGTGCTCTGTCTTTTCTATTAGGGATTTGGGTGGGTTGGTAATTTAGTTATGAATGAAGGTCAGTGTCCTATCACGGAAGAGAGAGAATAAGTGGAGTTAGTAGAGTAACAAACTCTGCCACTGCACAGCTGGCCGTAGAGCCTTGTGTATGAGAAATTTTTTTGAGAAATTGAATACATAGACTCCATTGTCATGTTTTCTTAGTAGTGTTGTTATCCACGCATGTCCTATGAGTGCTCGATTGGATTTTATATTATCCTGAGTGGAATTTGCAGGAGACTCCTCTTGAAGTCAAACCTATTATCCTGGAAGGAGACTTGCTTGGCATCCATGACAAGCAGGTAGAACTCTTCTACCCTTATTTCAATTCATTCTTGGAAGGTCATATAATGTTTCATCACAATTTTTTTTGTTTTTGGGGTGTTCGTAGGGAATTTCTGAAGATCCTTCCAAGGCCGTTGCTGAAGGATCTAATAATCATGCTGTCAACCCAAGTGATGAGGTAGTTTTTTTATGGAAAATAAAATTCCAACCTAACGCTCTCCCGAGTTTTGTCATTCCTCTATTTTTTATCGTCCAGTTAGTAATGTGATAGGAGCCTTTAGGAGAAACAGAAACCTAATGCTCGCTCACGAGATTGGAGAGTTCAAGGTACTTGTAAACCTTGCATCAAAATCCCATATATTCGATTTAGGGCTTTGCAGTGGATCCTAAAAAAGTGGAACAAAGCCCCACCCTTCACAACTGATGCGCCCTTGTGACTCTACTATAGACATCTCTCTTGGTCATCCTGCTAGTTGCACTCCTCCTTGGGAACCCTTTCCATACAGCTGCTCCACTTTTGGCGCGCCACTCGTTGACCTTGCTGGTTGTTAGAGCATATTAAAAAAGTCTTACATCTAGAAGATAAATTAAGAATATATGAATGTGAGCCGAATCTAGCCAAACAACTTATTGCCTGAATTAACAATATATGCATCTAATAAATATCATTATGTTTTCTTCTTCAGGAATTGCGGTCTGGTGAATGCTTACCAAACGCACTGTCATCAGGCTTTGTGCATTCTTCAGCAAATGATGAGGAGCAGGTATTCATCATTTGAGTAGGTTTTTTATTTTTATTTTTAATCTATATAATAAGTTAATGCTATTCAGCACAACCCTGCACAATTGTACACGAAACGTTACTTGAGTTGTCGTGCCACTTGACAGTTGAGTCGGGTGACCAATGTCGTTAAGCAGAGTTGTGTTAGTAACATTATTGTGTTACTGTTGCACTCTGGTCGTTGCCTTACATGAACTTGATATGATGTATAGGAACCTCTGGCTGAGCTTTCTAATCCTTCCGACACAGATATTGACATTCCTGGAAACTTCAACTAGAAGGTATGAGGTGCTTTATAATGTCAAGGAGTTGTAAATACTTCTCCGGTCCTAAATATAAGACTTTTTTTGCAATGTAATTCTCATTACAAAGAAATCTTATATTTAGGGCTGGAAGAATACTAAATATAGTATCTGTACTAATGGGATCTGGCGAAGTGGTACGTGTTGAATGAGACACCTGAGAGGCGTCAAATCAAGTAATGATTGAATATAGTGCTAAAAAATGTTGAAGTTCTCCCATTATCCGCCTCGAGGGGTTGTGAAAAATATGGCACATCATATAGGGTCTTGGACTTGTTTAATCAAACCTGATTTTGATGGTAAAAATCATCACAAGAAATCGGATGAATCTTCAGCTGTGTACAAGTCTGAAGAATGGACGTTGCTTGCAGCGGCTAATTTGGATGTTGAATTTAGCAGGGTCATAATTAATTATTCTGACACGTCTTGAGTATAGATTTCCACTGGTGGGATCGGGCTGAGAAAGAAGAAGCTTTGGATCCGTTATCTATGTCCAATCATCTGTACATATACGTAAAAGGGTAGATTAGTTTGTGTTGTGGTCTCTTGTTCTATTTTTTTTTTTAATATATTGTATTTAAGGTAGATGTACATTATGGTGCCAAAAATCGCTATAATCAATCATCATTGGCACCACTATTTTTTAGGATAAGTCAGGCGTATGGTTAAAAATTGATTTGCTTCCTTGTCAAGTGTCATTCAACACCGGTTTGCTCAGCTGTAACATCTGTGGTATTTTACATTGAAGTTTGAATAAAAATGTCGTGAATACTGAAATAATGATTATCGTTGTCTTATTATGCACTGAGCATTTAAATGTTGCGGCTGGCGTTGAGATTAACTTTGATTTTGAAATATAAACTTATTATTAAATCATTATATCTTTGATCTGATCTTTATTAATGGGTCTTTGGATTAACCTTTTGCAATTAATTTTGTGCATTCCAAAATAAACATGTAAAAAAAATTGTCTTGTGTAAAAATATTTTTTTTAATTGATCATAGAGAGTATCCAAACTCCCCCTTAAATATTAAATAATTTCATCTGGATTTTACGTTTTCAAAAAACTGGAGGATCTACGTCTCGTTTTATCTGTGCGCTCCTGAGCGTTTGAACATAACGCAATTTTATGCTCACTTCCGAGTGTGGAAATGACAATTTAGCTTTTCAAATTGATGTGAGAAATATACGGAAATGAGGACTAATATTAATAAGCGTGAATAGTTAAAAGTTCCAAAATCTCATCTCCATGCAATGGACCTGCATTATCCCACCGTGAGTTCGCACCCTTGAAGGGTTCTCGAATCATGTTTGTTATTACATAAGCCGACCTGCAAGATCCTATTTCTAACTAATTTGTGAAGCCCAAAATGCTCAATTTTCCGAAGCTACAGAGAAGTTAGGTAACCCCCCATTCGGAGCCTCCCAGTAATACTCGAATTTGACCAAGTAGTACCGGATGCCAGAGACAGATAATATATATGCAGCTGCGGCTGAGTTCATCCAGTCTGGTAAAGAAGATATAATCACGGGGTTCTATCACTAACGACCAAGGCTGACATCATCAGAGAATACACATACCTTTAACAGAGATGACTCTTCATTCATAACGTTCTAGATTTCTAGGTACCCTTCTGAAGATGTGACTTTCTACTCTTTCGTCTAAGGTACTTGGCAATCGAGAACGATTAGCTATTATTTCTCCCATTCTAGAGTCATGAAATGTCCGGATGAAGCGTGCTTTATACTCGAGGAGAAAAATTCCTCTAGATAATTGGAAAAATGTTTCTAACTTTTAACGGCTTCAATTGGGGATCCACTTGAGGAATCACTATCTAGTTGAGCCGTCTCCCTTGGAGATGATGGAAGCAACTCGGTTGGGGCGGATAAACCTGCAAGAGAATGGAAGTTCGGCCAAAATTTACGATATTCAACAAGTGATTGTACTAGAGATGTAAAAAAAAAAAAAAAAAAAAGGGGTCAACAAGTTAAAAAGAAAAAGAAAAGATAAAGGTGTGTTGCGTGACTTGAGAATCACCAAACATGGCACAGCGAAGATTAGTTGATTAAGCCTGGACAACATACAACCAGTTGGAGAAATTTAACGGCATGCACCTCAGCCGGGTAAATCCTTGGGGACAGAGACGATGGACAAACAATCATATACACATGAAAAATGGGAGTTTGCTTAAAATTAAACACAAGAAGCCTATTAATCCCAATTGTTTATTCATGGTATTTAACGGCTAAAACAAAAGAATTAAACACAAAACAACGAGTTTGAAGGATATTCAGCCAACGTAAGGGGATGCACAAAACAAAGTCATTCAAATGACGATCTTTATGTGGAAGGTAAAAGCACCACTGCATACTAAAATACGGCCTCCAAATTATTGTCATCATCACAAGGTTCCATTCAATTGCAGTCCAATTTTATCGTCTGATCACAATGAAAAACTAGGCCGTAATAAGTTGTATAAAAGTGAAACTTGCAAACCTTTTTTAGATTGGAACTTCTTAGTGTGCCGTCTAATAAGCTTTTTAGCTTTTGTAATTGTGAGCTGCCTAGCATAAGGGGAGAACTCGACATCACTTTCACTCCAATCACCGCGAACATCTTCTTCACCCCTCATAGTTCGGAGAACAAATGCCTTTGCCTTGCGACGTTGAGTATTAAATAGTCCTTTGACGGATGTTACAAATCCATCACCTGCTCCATCACTTGGACGCTTAAATGGGTACTGATCAGATTTTCCTGCCTGGTCTTCGTTGTCACTTGAGTAGTCAACTTCAGGACCGCTGGCTCCAATAGGCTGAGCCTGGGACTTGTCTTTGAATTTCTTACCCTACATAATCCATGAAAGGAAAAACAATATTTAAATGAATTTAATAGCAAAAGTTAATGACGCAAAACTCCATAACTAATAATGATTTTCTTGATTGGTTAAGAGCCATATAAGAGGCACTAAAATGGCGGCCTCGCACTCAAATTTTCAGTAAGGTCAAACATAATGTTTTCTTTTTTGTGACGTAAAAATAATGCTTTATTAAAGAATGTAACCATTAACAAGAAAATGAGAAGAAACAGGAAACAAGTGAATCATCAACCTGCATTCCAGTCACAGACTTCAGAACTCCCCAGATGATATGCTTCTTAACCCGTGAAAAGAGTTTTGGCCAAGTCCCAGTAAATTCTACTCGGTGAAATTGATCCATCAGTAATTTCAGGTCACTCACAACAAATGGTGATCCATCATATGTAACCAATAACTCAACCTACAAGAAATATACACAACACTCAGATGAAACCTGAATTATTGTGACATATGTGATGGTAGATAAAGCTTCACCATTGGGTTAAAAAAACTATCAACCTGGCTAATTCTGATGTTATGAAACTCCATCACCTTTCGTGGCTTAGATCTCTTCTCTTCTTGTGACTTAACCACTTTTCTCTCTTTCTCTTCACATGATCGACCAGTTTTGACAACTTTGGAATCTTTTAATGAATTCTTAGAGACTTCATCTTGTTGCTCAACAGAGCCAAATGGGCTATTATTCGAGGAAGAGATACTCTCTAAGACAAGTTCATTGGCTACAGATTCTGCAACGGTTTCTTCCCATGTTCTGTCAAAAGAAGATGTTCTTCGCAACTCAGGGGTTGAACCAGTACCAGGGTTTTCTGTGACATTTTGCAACTTGGATGCCTGCAAGCACGTCACAAAACTCCTCATGAGATAATGCATTAAAACGACTAATAACACATGAAGAGGAAAAAGGACAAAAAAGAAAAAGACATATTTTGCCCAAACTCTCCAAACCAACGTATTCCGTGATTCACATTTTCTATTCTAGTCATCTAGAAAAAAATATCGTCAGAGCCTCACTTGGGTTGAATCAGCAGGAACCGTTGGCTCACTTGTAACAGGAAATATCATTGCAGAGATGCTAGATTTGGATGGAATCTCGGACTCTTTTGTTGAGTGACTGCTAGGAGCAGGAACTTCTTGGATTGCCAAACCTTTCTTCAGACGTCTTGCACCAGCAGTGGTTGAAACCTTCCAGACCTCCTGCATTATTTTATGGACAAAATAACAGATTTTCTTAAGAAAATAAGAACAATCTTGAAAAAGAACAACAAATTAAAAGGCCAATAATAATTTTTGCTCAAAAAAAAAAAGGCCAATAAGAATAAGTGAAGAAAAACCATGCATAGAAGACCGAAGAGAAGTCACTAAAACAATTATGTTTCACAATAAAATGCAATGACAGAGAAATGCCCCTGAAGATAAGGCACTTCTTTAAACTAAATGTAATTTCAGCACCCATAAACTAACCATAATTTTAACTACAAATATCTATAAATTAAGCTTTGGTTCTGAAGGCAATAAAAAATTTAAATTTATCAACTAACCTGCCGGCGTTGCGAATCTTGTCCATCTTCTGGGAAGAAATAACCCCACATCATTCGGTATATTGTCTCTGTCAAATGGATTTTAAGGGGATAGATCTCTACCTATAATGCAAACGAAATTCATATCACGAAATAAAAGGCACCAGTCTCAATACTCCAAGCAGATGCTATATTAATAACAAGATGTTTTAATCTCTGGTTCTGATTTTTTAATGTACTTCTAACAGGTTTGCAGTTCTTTATAAAATGGAATAAATAAAATTGATCACTATCATAGCTGCGTCAACTTATTCATGTGATCAGCTCAATTAAGATCAAATGATCGACAGTGATGGCTGAATGGAAGTCCAAATATTATCAAAGTAGATGGCATAATTTTGCAGGAAAATGGAGAGTATTAATTAAACAATACATGATATAAAGAATTAGGAAAGTCATAGAAGCTCTACTGAAAAATCACAACATATTCACAAAGCAAATACAATGGCATGAACTTCTTTTCAGTGGTTCTGCTTTCTCCTTCAACCAAATGAAACCAAAAAACCTAGATTAAATGATGGCTGACTCATTGTGAAATGTCCAAATCGCATAGTGTCTAATCTTCCACATCTGAAGATTTATCAAAAACCAAACGGCTCTGCTTCATAAATTTTTCATACATCTCATTCAGAGTTTTTAATGCATAGGATTTCAAGTAATTAGCAGATTAGGACGTCTGCTTACCAAAGGAAACAATTACCTGGAAAAGTTCGAAGGGAGAATTTCCATCCTTTGGAGCTCCCTGCCTTGCATCTAGTCTGAGCATGACTTTTCTGTAAACAACCAAAAAAAAAAAAAAATGCAATATCAGAAATACAGAGAAGAAGTGAAAACCTAAAACTTGGAAGTATTTAATAAATTGTAGAAAAAGGCAAGGTTTACATACTTTCCCCATTCAGGTGGAGGATTCCATGCTGATAAAAGCATATCACACTTGGCATTAGGCAGACAATTTCTGATGACCAAACATTTTACTGTAAACCGAGAAACACCCACATCCTTGTAATCTCGATCAAAGTCATAGATCTAAGATGTTGGGAAAATGAAACTAAATTAGCATGCCTTACAAGGCGAGACTCCAAAGAAGCAAACTAAGAAACTAAGCAAGATGAATTGCGAGCAACAATGTAATCAAAGAACAGTGGAGGATAACATCATCGCACAAAGAAACTTGAACAATCATGAGGCCCCAACACACAGATATCTGCAAGATCCCCTTTACAAATTGAAACACAGTTATTCAAATACCTGTGTTTAATAATATGCAGAGTCAAGCCATAATGTTTTTTCCCCTTTAAATAATGAAAGCTGTATCCTGACAATTAGTGGCTTTTCTTGCATAGGTGCTAGAAGGTTTGGGCTTCATAAAACATGGCCTTAGGCAAACAATGTCGCAGTAGATTTACAGGATCACTCCAAGGACACTTAATTTAAAGGACCCGCAACATCTTGGTCATAAAGGCTTTGATTTCATGTCAGGACCAAGTCACCATTACCATAAAAGTTCATGCTTTCAAATGAACACCACGACGACTGATATCCCTTACAGTTATTGAAAACGTATCAAGGATGATGAACAGAAAAACTAAACAGAGAGCGTTTCTGGGAAGAGAAATTATCAGCCGATAATTAGTCAATGATCCCTCGTCACATGTACAAGAAATAAGGTGTTGTTGTATAGTGGTAGTCAGAAAAGAGAGAAAAGGAAGGGGGTGGGGGGGAGCAGCAAGAGAAACAATTTTCTCATCAGCAGCAATTTTCCGGCCGTATTTTACTCTCACAAGCAAAACTTGCATCTAAGAGGAGCAAAATCCATCTAATAGATATATTAAATTAGAGTTAATGTGGTGAAGATCAAATGTTTAAACAGTATGTCATACTGAGTAAGAAGAAAATTTGTTTGTTAAATATTAAATTCTTACCATGTCACTAATCTCAAATTCTGCAAAAGATTTGCCATCAAGCAGCATGCTCCAACCAACTTTATTAATTTTGAATGATATGTGCATGGCATAAGAAGGACTTCTGCTCTTTTCCTTCTCCGAAATCTGTTGCTGTGCAGCTTTCTGCAGAGCCATCCTTAATGATGCAGATGCAGCCTTCATAGATTTTTTCCCACTTACAAGTTCTCTCTTCAATCCTTGCACCTGCCAGTGTTGGACTACCGTTGATTACTCATGCAACCTTGTCATATTACAGAAAGATGCATAGAACAAAAAAGTAGATGGTACGTCTCAATGCATGCAGAGAACAATGGAAAGTCATAGTGAATAAGAAAATGCAATGAGAATCACAATATCCTGCCCCCTACAAGATAGGCTAATAACCAAACCAAGATGATAGAAACAGCAACAATGAAAGAAACCATAAATTGTCATGGGATGCCCCAGTTGAGCAGCATCAATAAAGATACAAAGACAAGATCGAATGCAGTCTTTTCTGTCATGGTAAAAATAAAATAAATCTTAGGTTGTACAAAACGTTAACAGCATTGACAGAAAGGTAATTAAAGACAACTGAGTATAATTTTTTAAACCATTAATCAAAGTTCAGAGGTATCAAGAAAGATTTAGCCAAATTTGATAGGACGCTAATGTAAAGCTGCCCTTCCTTTTTTATGGATATAGAGAAGAAGCAGCTAAAATTGGACTCAATCTGTTTAATCACATCCATTAAAGTATTGTTTAAAGGGTATCTTACCAGCACTGGTCTTCCACATGCAATCATCCACAGCTCACCTTCCTTTTCTGGACATGAATCTCCAGACGCATCACATGAAAAAGACAACTTTCTAATATCACCAAGAATCAACTTCTGCTCCCTCTCTTTTTGTTCAAGGTTGATCTTTGCAAGTTCTACCTCTTCAATACCATCAGGGATCACCTCATCCGTTTCCTCCTCAACATCTTCATCATCTTTACCAGAAAATGATAAGCTACTTTTTCGAGGCCTGTGTTGTGTACAATAATTAGTTAAGAAAATATCATCACAAAGCATACAATTTTTAACTTGGCCTTTTTGCAGGGATAAAAGAGACCATGTTTAAGTAGTATAAGACTTGAAAACATTACCTAATAATATTTGAAGACAATGTCTATCCAAATTATAACCAAATTCAAGGGAAAAAACATATATGACAGGTAAAATAGTTTTGCACAATTTACAAAGTAAATTACAGATGATATTGCAGCATTCAAATCACAGCTAATCATCCTGTCTTAAGTCACGTCATACGCAAAATCAGTATTTCAAGGGTTGAGAACAAGCAAATGTTTATAAATAAAACCCAAAAAGAAATACTGTTTTGATCTCTCCACATAAGCTGACCGTACTAGTTGCTTGATAAGAATTATCATGCTCACATGACATGATAAAATTTGACAGTTGCAACTACTGATGTCTACATATGAGTGAACTGCTAAAATATAAATACAGAAACGTTTATTGGCTGTATATCTGCATCATTCTTTCGTCATTTATTTCTTTAACTTGGACAATCCCAATCATTCTTGGAATTCACATTTTTCCAAAATTTGTATTGACAGAATTTGAGGCTTCTCCCTTCCAACTTTCACTGAATTGTTCCCTTTTCTTCTAGTCAAGATATCAAAGCATTAGATCTTGATTTTTATGATTTCTTTCTAGCAAGTTCTAATTTCTATCCTCAACTCATTTGTGAAAAAGGTTTTTTCTTGATAAGCCAATTTCAAATTCTAAAATTCCTTCAAAGGTCAAATTTCAGAACATTTTGCCCCATTTATTTATCCACTCTGCAGTAGTAAGATACGTAGAGAATAAGCTCCTTCGTATGTTTGGCAAGAGTCTGGGTGTCTTAATACCTTATAACATTTCTCCTTATTGAATTTAATAGGTTTGATAATGAGGAAGGAAACAAAACTTTGTGATGGTGTATGATCTATGGAACTGTGGCTTTCCTAGTTGGAAAACAATGTATGCATCTCCAATATATCTTCTACTTTAACTGTTTTATTGAATAGAATTATGCTCAGCACATTATTTTTTTTTAAAAAAATGATCAGGGGACCTCTTTGATATGCAAAGAGATTGAACGTATCTTTCAAACCTATTAGGCTTTATAGGGCTAGCAATTTTTCACTCTTTCAGGTTTGAGGATTTCTTCACCTAGGTAGAGGTAATTTCCTCTAGTTCTTACAAATTGGTTCTTTTACTTAGTAAACATTATAAATATAGAGAAGGCATGATGCAGATAACGAGTACTGACATATGGAGTGAATCACTACGTTCATGAGTTAGAGGTAGTGAGAAAGATAATGGTTCAATTTAGAGAAAGGGCAAATAGAGGGGCTATCCTCACTTTGGAAGGCGTGCAAAGAGAAGATTGGTCAATACATCCAACATGACCTGAAACTGACGGGAAGTCATAGTTGCCGTTATATTATGAGAATTAAATGTGACCTCCTTCAAGGGCTTCACCTGCAGAGGTTAAAATAAGCAGTTGATATAAATATTGAGAACAAAAAGCATGTGTTACATAAAGAACTAGAGAAACATGCTTCGTGAAGAAATGCATGTCTGGAAATACATGCATTGGTTTTGGAAAAATACGTGATGTGGGGTTATATTCAAGACCAGGACGTCAATACGGTATAGGTTACCTTGAGTTCTGGAGTTGCACCTTTGTGCCGTGTGTATCGGAAGTACATGTCACAAGGCATAAAAACCCTCTCAAGAAGAGCACCAGTTCGCATTACTTTTGGGGAGCCTCTACGGATTTTTGGAAGCCACTGCACTCCAGCTCCTGGATCAACATCTGTTGGTGCAACATGGGCCTGCACATGCTCCAACATAGCAGAAATCTCCATCCTATACCAAGTCATTTCAGGTTGGTACCCAGCACTAGGCACATTTGTAGTTCCAATAGCTTGCTCAATCATCTCAGATCCAACATGAAGTACTGAATGAAATGACTGGGATAAAACACGGCCACTTGCAGCAGCAAGCAGAAACCTACCCTGTTTAGCAAGAAATTAGGTGACTCAGCAAGCACAAATAGAAGACATCTACAAATGTATCAAAGTACATATCACATATTACAAGACAAACAGAAAAGTATCCATGAGGTAAACTTTAGCAGATTCAATTGACAAAATGCAACCTAAATATATACATAAACATATATATAAAGGATAAGATATCCTCCTTGGCAAAAATGTCGAAGATGACATAGAAAAGACAAAAACATCAAAAGAATGAGTCCCTTTGCAAATATGTAAGGAGGCAACCCCAAAGAGACCATGGACCAAACACCATATAGAGGGCGAAATAGATAATTCTGTCACCAGCTCAATCTAGAGTAAGTGAGGAGAACTGCTAAAGATATGAGCATCTTCGCTCAAGTCAAATACACCAAAGAGCAGAATAGATAATGAATAATCATAAAGCGTTTTCTTCCGTATAGTTCTACCCTGTACTTAATCAAAAGAAACCATTCCTGGTTGAGGGAGCGCATCCTACATCTAGCATTAACCAAAAACACCAGATAATCTGCTACCAAGAATAAATGAGAAGCTATTCCAAAGAAATTTGACAAAGGCTTATAAGTTTAAATGAAGTATCACAAGGAAGGAAGCTGAAATAGCAACATCATTGCCTAAAAAATAAGCACAGGTACTTCAGCAGTGCACATCTTGAATATGCATCTTATGCTGATTCTCAATTCATATTAAATGGTGAATAGACTTAGCTGGATAAATATTCAAAAGGTAATCTTTAGTTTTCGATTTTAAACCCGTGGCAGGTCATGGTGAAAAGAACATGCAGAGGAAGCTATTGAATACTGATTTTCAGGCTTAATTTCCAGAGACGACATTAGCACCTAAAATCCATTGAATCTGGGAAGTTTACCATGAATATCAAACAATCCACAAACTCAAAGAAGTTGACAGCAAACCCTTAAAATTAGTAAATTGAATGTTTGGTCCAGAAGAATGGCCAGCATTACCAACTGTTTTCAGAGGGAAATTATTATAGCCATTAAAAATTAAAAAATACACCAACAAAATGATAATCCACTGCCCCACACAATGAGCAGTGAAAGAATAAGAAATCTCCAGCGGTAATAACAAGGCATTAGATTATGCATATTAATAACATAACTAAATATCAGAAAAGAGAGAATAAAATAGTAACATGCAAAAGAGTATAATAGGCATCTACATCAGAAATGAAACAGAAATCTAAAAGGTGTCTGCATCTTTTGGCAAGAGGATCTTCTTGACAAATCAAAGGCTAGAGAAAAGAAAATTATTTTAATCAAGTTCCAGCCATTAGTAAAGCACAACAATCAGTGTATATAACCTGAGAACTGCCAGGGGGAATTCAGTTTTGAATGCATAGCATGTTTTAAACTTACATTTGCATCTTCTGAGTGAAGATTGAATTGCGGCTCAATAACATTCACCATGAAATGTCGAGTCCCATCTGAATCATCTTTGTTTTCATCTTTAACTGACAACAGATCACTTTTAACTGGCATTAAATCATCATTTTTATCTGGCAACAGACCAGAAAGAGCAGAACAAGCCTCTTAATCAAGTACTGAAGAACATTTCAATCAATAAGAATTATCTATCCTGCAAACAGGAATAATATTTGCTGCAACAAATGGCAGTGATTTCTCTTTTGCTATCAGTCACTAAACTAATTTGCACACCTAAATTGATATCACTTACTAAAATTTCTTAAAGCACATTAAACATACCAGATGACACATCCACCTCAACTGAATTTTGTGGTGCAAGAGATCCAGAAGTCTGTGTATCTTGAGAAGAGGAACAATCAGCAGTGCTCCCAGGGAGAGAGTTCTTACCATCATCAGATTGATAGGTTTCAGCCCCATCATTCTTTTTGTTTCCCTCAAGTAATCTCCTCTGGGCATACTGCCGAGAAGGCGAGGGCTTGGGAGGTCCAAAGGCTTTGGATAGGCCACCAACAAAGGACAAAATAGCATCTCTGTTCTCAATATTCCATAAAAGCTTGAGACCATATACAAACACACGCTGACAGTTGTCAGCTACAATCACATTGTACCCGTCATCATCACTTGGGTCAGACAGCATATGCTCACTTTCACCTCCATTTTCAAACCTAGATGGTATATTCGTCTTCTCAACATTTTTTCTTCCTGCCTCTTGCCAGGCTAGTAAACTAACAGGATCAGCCTTTGGGGACTGTTTTCTGATAGTAAAGTAATCGGAGGACAACAAAAATCCATCACCACAGCTTTTCTGCATGCAACCTTTTTCAGAGAGGCTTTTGTCCACAGATGCTGAATGTGAGCTTTTCTGTGTCATGTTAATTGCATTTGCAATACTCGGACAGTCTTCTCTACTTAGAAATGCCTGGGGCATATGAAGATCAATTCCTAGGTAAACAGGTTCAAGAATGTCACGTTTGCTTTCGAAAGTATACTTTTGCCTGCCTCTACCACTACAGTGCTCAAACTTCATCTTTGTCATTGTTACAGTCAACCCTTTGGCTGGATCATCATCGTCAAAAGGCATGTGCTTTATACAGGTTGGTGTAGCATCTAAGCGTATCATAAACTCAGTCATCACTCTATCTAATGACAAATTACCTGACCTAATAAATCTTGGGATTCCAAAACGAGGAAAACGAGAGAACATACGCAATTTGTGTGGAGGGATGAAGTTCAAGTTCCAGAATTTAGTAATCCATGCCAGATCATAAGCACCAACATTCACTGTTGGCGAAGGTGGTGAAGCATTCTGGGTTTTTTGCAGAGGATCATTTACAGGATAATCTCCTTCAGCACCGTCTCTAGCAGTGGAAGGTGGGGATTGATCTGGTGAAGGATTCAAGCCTTTAAGAGAGAAGTTCAAGCGGAGGGAAAGAGAAGTTGATCTAAAGGGATCAAATACTTTGTCACGAAGCTTCCCCTCAACTGGTAGTGCAAATAAATAATGATTTAGGGGAGTGCCAGAATCACAACCCCAGTCCATGGTAACTTCAAGAGTGAAGACTGGGGCTTCCAGAAATGCACCAGAAACACCTGCTGGAAGCTGAAAACCCTGCCCATTAGCCAAACTCTCCAAACTACTCACTAATACCTTAAAATCCTTGGAATATACAAATATACGACCATCAGACTGGTGAATTTCAATAGGTCCAGTCACAACTTGGAGTTTGTCATGCTCTTCATAAGGATCTGTACTTGCCAAAACATTCAATTTTAATTCGGAAAAGCACAAGGAAGATTTTCCATGAATGTAATTTCTCATGTCATCCCACCACGGCAAACTCTTCTCCTTTTTTGGAGGCAAAATAAGTGGGCCTGGATTCCTAACGCTTAGATTTGCCCTCCGAAGGGCCACAGTAAAAGCATAACTTACATCAGCTAAAACTGGTTCATGACCTACTCCAAATGATGCTTCTCCTTTCTGAAAATGTATGGGTAAATCCATGTATGTCTTCATTGGTGGAGTTGTACCGCTAGCCGATCGAAGCATGCTCACTTTCCTCCATCTCCCAACATAGACATCTTGAGAAATTTGAGGTTGAAAGCAAGTTGCCTGATTAAAGTAAGGCAGAGGTAAATAATGAAGAATTGTCAGCTTTAGGTTGAACATTTTCTAGTTGATTCGGCAAGGGAGAAATTTGAACTTCAGTTTAACCGATACAAATAACAAAACACGCAGATGCAAGCATGCAAAACACACATAAATATATGTACATAAAATCTTTTCTCCCAATATATTTATCAAGTGTTTGGATAGTTCAGAACCTTCTGCAACCCTTTGCTTATACTGTCAAGCAACTGTAATGTCAGTGAAGTAGAGTGTTTGCAGGTTTTGGGGAACATTGGGTATGTCCTAAAATGGACATTTTCTTTTGCTAAAATCTACGGGTTTAGGAAGATGCTAAAGCACCGGGGATTAAGCAGAATTTTTTAAATGAGAGAAACATCAAGCGTTTTCCTTTCTCTCTTCAGAAGTTGAGGGAAAGGAAACTAGAATAGTAGTTAGTTCTGTCCCCAAGTTGGTGTTCTGCTCAAGGTTTTTCCAAGGGGGTTCTACCACAGATTTGCAACAACATTGGGCTGCTTGCATATTTTCATTTTCAACTCTTTTTTTTTTAAAAGAAAATTATGTTGCTGTTCTTCTTTGAGTTTGCTTTTGGAGAATTCTTATTCTCCTATTTTTGTATCTCTTTATTCCTTAAGAAAATTTTCCTGCAAAAGTAGACCTCAATTATCCCCATAGCTATATTTATCTCTAACTGCATAAACTAAAATATTCACCCAGCATCTGACCACAGACCAAAGCATAAAAGAATAACAGCCATAATTATCAACTCAGGTGTTTTCAACAGTTTTGCAACAACTACCAAAAGTAAATTGTATCCCTTGTTTGCTTTTTCCAAATAATTGCACATTTTTAATACCAAATCGTGCAATTTGGCTTTAGCACTACTTATATTGAACCTAGAGAACTGCGAGTATGTACTTATAGCTTTAAAATTTTTGCAATTAAAAAAAAAATCCATGTTGGATAATCAAAATACTCTCGCCCAAAAGAAATTACATATGATGTTTGATTTTCTAATTTACCATTAGTTCACCACACACACTGAGCAGCCATCTCACTCTCCAGTCTCAGTCCTTACAATCAAAGGGGAGAGAACGTTAAAAGAGAAGATTTTTAAATTATATAAAATTTATACTCCTCTAAACAAAGGATTGGACGACCTTAAATTAGTCAAATTCTGAGCCGACTCAGAGCCTCAACCTCTGTTTTTCTCATATTGGATATCTCAGAAAGGCCACAAAGCAAAATAAATCAAATTCAAATCCTATTCCTATCACTGCAAAAAACATGAGAGGGAAAAATAACAGACTAAATTAAAACAGAACAAACACATGACTAAGTCACACACCCATAAATGCATGTAAATCACCTTCAACAAAATCAATGTCAAATTTTAGTTTACTTGATAAAAATTTCTAAAACCTCCCATTGTACTTTAGTACTATTGAGGATGATTATTGGATGCCTAATGAAAATAATAGTTTCTAGAACCGCTGACAAGTAAACCAAGATAGTCTATACATTAAAACTCTCATACCTTGATGTCATTTAGTCCATAAGAGACCCATCTATCAAATATATTAGGCTAACCAAAGCAAAAGGGGAAATTATAATAACCAGATCTTCAAAGACGAAGTCAACATAATCAGAGATAAATTACAAAGTCAAAAACCATTTATGTCAATTTCTATGAGAGGAGGGAATAATAAAATTACATAAAAGAAAACAAACGGTCCTCCTTAAGCAAAAAATAATATAAAAGGCAACTACCGGGCTCTAACTCAAATGAGTCTTCATTGCCCTTTGAAAATCTACAAGATCCAATATTTAAATTCATGACTATATTTATATATAATATATATAAATGGAATCTTCTACTTAACCCTAATTGGACTTTGAAATCTGAGTAAATGAGATGGCATGAATGGAAGAAAGGAAACAAAGAGATCTTTTGATATTACCTGCTGTGCCAACACAAGGCAACCTTCACATTTACCAGTACTTCCAGAAAAAAGAGGTAGTGTGTAATTCCGAAGATTTGCCACAAGAGAACCCACATTTAAGAGAATATTTCCCCCATACAGTCGGGAAAATGGAATATCATTTTCACGACAGATAGGATCAAGCTCCTTCAGAACCTCAATCATCCCATCATCTCCACCATCAATTTCTGTCAAGCTCAAATTCAAGTCCAGCAAGCATATTGTGAGAAGAGACCCCCTTGAAGTGCTAGGCTTGAAACCGGCTTGGAACCCATCTCTGCATGCACCCGATCCTTCCGATAAGACTAGGTTCTGACATGCCTTGTAATATGATTGGAATGACTGCTTATACATTTCTTCTCTCAAGAATTGAATAGTTGAAGAATCTTTCATATCAATCTCAATGTCATTAAAGTAAATCTTCCTTTCTTGACAAGAGTTATTGGCATCAGTAGGTTTTGATCCTTGCTTGGCCTTTGATATATATTCATCCAGAAAGTTCAACCGAACAGCTAGCTCACTGGCCTCCTTTTTCAAAAGCTGATAGTGTTCATCAAGCCATCCCTGGATCGGTTCTTCTTCAATATCAGCAGTCAACTTACGTATGCAAAATTTTATGCATCCAAGTTTATTTGAACTAGGTTTTTTAACTTTAGAACTTTCCTTCTTCACAGGGAAAATAATATTAGTTTTAGCAGCAATAATGAGCTTTAGAGCTCGTAACATATCCTCAAGAGCATCATCAATAGCACGAAGTTCCAATCTGTGTGGCATGCAAACATGACAATGAAGACCTTGAATTACAAAGTCCCATATTGTGATTACAGCCCCTTTTGCGTCAGTTTCACTTGCAGCAACTCTAGGAATTCGTGAAATTTGTGTGCGGCTACTCTTGAAGATTCTGGCCCCATTGAAGCTAAACATAAGACCTTCAAGGAGCACTCCTATCCGAGCATTCTCAGAGAAAATTGATTGAATCTGAATACTGGCATCAACTCCATCTCCTAGCTCAGCAGATACGTTCAACAGTTCCACATCAATAGCAAAAATATTTTCTTTCTTTTTCTTCTTCTCAAGATGTCCTGATTCCATTTCACTCTTTGAAATAGCATCTCCACCATTTGATGCACCCTCCATGTGTTGATTCCCAAGCTCCTGAAGCTTCCTATTGTGTACCAGTAACTTCAGCTGCAGGACAAGTTCAATTAGTGATAGATGTACATCAGGCTCCCACCTCACTGTAATATCAGTAGCACTAAAAAGAGAGAAGACAGCAATCTCTTTATGGCCACCTGAACGCTGGACAAATTTAGAATTTTGCATCTCAAACAATGCAACCTTTGTAACAGGCCTGCTTTCCTCCATATATTCCTGATAGATAGATCTCGCTCTTTCAAGTTCCAACTGTTTGGACTGTTTCTCCTTGTTCACGCACAAAGTTAAATGAAAGATTTCAAGAGAAACAGAGAACTTCAGTTTCTGATATTCACTTGCAATTGTGGACATTATTTGTGCATTGCGTGGGGTACCATCCGCTGACATGCTAATTATAACTCTACCACCCTGTGAACCATAATTAACTCGCTTGGGATCTGAAACACTTGTATTTTCTAAGCCTGTCTCACTACAAACATACAATGAACAGTACTCAAAATTAACCTTCAGCATTTGAATTCCCTTTCCTGAAGATTTTGATGAATGCCCAGGGCTCTCACTTCTTTTCTTTGAGCCAGATAGGTTTTTAAGTAGAGCTTGAAAGGATAATGCCGTTGATACAAGTGATTCTACACGCTTGAGAGTTAGGTAAACTGCCATATGGGTCACTAAAACAGAGAAACCTAACCTACCCTTGGAACCATCCTCAGAGGATTCTGTGTCATTTTTACCCCAATCCAAACTAACCTTCGCTATGTGCATAATGGAGTCAGAGCTAGACTCCACATCGAAAATGCCTTCTTTCATGCATTTTTCATATTCGTCAGCCAAGTGCAAATTTAGCTCACCAAGATTGATGTTTACTGTAGTCCCAGCGTTTACATTGTTTGCAAACAGCTCTAATGATTGTAAGCAGCCCTATCAGGAGATGGATGTTTTACAATCAATATTTTTAACCAAGCAATATATTAAAATAAACAAATAAGTTTAATAAGTATAACTGCATCCAAATGCTGTACACTCTATAATTAAAAATGAAACTCCCAACACTCAAAACACTTAAGAATAATCTTTCTGCCTCAAATTCCAAATCTAAAATCCAAGCAGACATTGTAAGAAGGGGATCCTATGAAGTTATTAATGATCCCTTCAGAAGGGGAAAAATCCACTGGTCGATAAATTTGAAAACTTCAACTCCTAAGGCAAAGAGTTTCAAGGTTCAAACCATTTTTTGGTTACTTCATTTTACACATGCGTACATATGGATATACGCATATATAAGAAAATATCACATTGGAAAGTCTCATTTGCAGTAAAGGATTCATTTCTAAGAAAATACTCACGTGATATACTGGTGAACCAGCCATATTGAAAAGCATCAATGTCATGTCCGGAGCTGAAAAATTGCACGTCCACACAATGGTCTTGATATCCTGATTTGTTGACTTTTCATCTGCCCTACTTGATTGTGGCTTAACAACTTTAGAAGCTTCTTCCCCAAGAACCATTCTTTTCTTCTTTGCTGAATGAAGAACCACCCAAGGTTTTAACATGCTCAATAATATGTTGCATTTTGTACCCCCTAGCTTAATTTTAGTTTCAGCTCTAACAGGCAAGATGGGCTGTAGAGAAAAATAAATGTCCCAAGAAAAATAAGTTGGCTCACAGAACGTGAAAAAAAGAAAAAGAAAAAGAAGACTATAACAAAGAATGAGATTACACAACTTGTCCGCATATGAGAAAACCAGTCAAAATCACATTTAAAAGTTGCAGTTTTCCAGCATCTTTCCTTTCCTTTAGGGTGACTTAGATTGGCTTTGTATCTGTTTGAGAGGAATCTTATACTCTGCCCCTGTATTTTTCCTAAACCTCTAATAAATTTCTCAGACGATAAAGAATTGCAGTTTTCTGCAACAAATAAAGTATTTTAATGAAAAATAGCGCAAAACAAAACCGAGGACAAGTCCTCCAAAAACAAAGAAATATTCATCAGCTCAAAGAGCTTTACAATTCCTTTGTAAATCCACAAAGAAATCACATTGGAAAGACCATTAGCTGGAAACCAGAAAGAAGCCAATCTGTAGATCATAAAGTTAAAGCTTCAAAAGGCTATCTATCTGAATTAAAACTCTTTTATATTGAGCTAAAATTATGTTACTTGGAGCCTTCAGGAGCAACAAATTCTGGTAGATATTACAATATAATTGCCAAACGATGTGATAGCATATAATCTTGTGTTAAAAAAAAAAGTGAAAGCCACAAAATCTCCAGGTGATTATCAATGGTGATATGACTTCAATTGCCACTTGATTTTCAATAAATTTCTCTATAAAGATTTCCGGTCAAGTTCTTGATCTAATTGTCAAGCAAATTTTTTCTTAGGTAGATTCAAAGGCAGACCAGTTATGGAGTCATACGAAGATGCTTATGCGGACAGCAGATAACTTACCTGTACTGGGACATGTGCAAAAAGAACCACGTCTAACTTCAATAACTCCAGGAAGGAAGAACCAACTTCTCTGAGAAGCTGTAGCAAAAATAAGACATGAAAACTTATCAGCAAGAAAAAACAAGAAAAAATATCTCAAGAGTCTCACCAAAGTCAGCAATCAAAATTCATACATGAATTTCACTAAACTCCAGTTTAAAATCAAGGCGTGTACAATCTCCATTGTTGGAAGCAGATCGAAATTTAGTGGTTTCCAATTGCATTCCAATGACATTATTCTCAACAGAAAGACCATGTTCACGATGCCCAAATTTCACATCCAGCTTTGGTAAATTGAAGCTGACCTATCAATAAGAATTAAAACAGTTGACGTTAAGACTCTTTTTAACCCTTTCCATAAATAGAAACATTAACAGAGTATCTATTTTCCTGTATGTGGTTTTGGCAGAAGTAGGGTTTTTCAAACACATGCTAAATCTGTTTTTTTCTAGATGAAAAATATTAAAACTACCTTGAAGATTTTTTTGCTGTTTTGCAGGATATCTTAAGAAGATATAAGCAACAAATATATCTAAAACAAATCAAGAAAGTTGTGTGGGAGTAGTTTGGTGTGTTAGTGCACTGTTGCTGGCTCAGCTTCAGAATTTGTCTGGCTGTTTAGATACTGGTTGCACACACTTTTTGTGTTTGATCAGGAGTTTATATTTTGTCTGCGTTGCTGACCCTGTTAGGTGGCTAAATGTTGAAGTTGGTGCTGTACAGAGTTGCTTTGGATACACTTTTGTGCACTTGCCAATTCATTATTTCCTTTGGATACATTTGAGGTTTCTTTTATGGCAGTAAATTAACCGTTATGATCTAAGCTGGTGACTTTGTACAGTTTCCTAAGTATCACGAGTCATAAAATTCATTTTCCTTCTCTTACTACCATCAGAAGCCATTTCCATTGCTTAATTGCTTGACGAGGATATATTATATCTTTCAACTTTGTAGTCCCTGTCTCTCTTACCAATTAAAAAAAATACTAAGGATAGGAAGTATATCAAAACTCCTTACCTTTTCAGGAAACATCATCGCGTATTTGGAAATTGCAGCAAGAGCTTTCTGGTTCTTTGACAGTTTATTTGTGGCCACAGAATCATCACTTGACTGTATAATATCATTGGAGCCCGGAAAAGATTCCCCTGAACTCTTTCTTTTCAAAAAAACATCCTCATTCAAATTCACAGCAACTTCTCCCATGGCGATGCCCACATTCTTAATAGTAATGCCCACTTCCCTATGTCCATAAGCAACTCAGTGGCTATAAAAGGATTTTTTTTTTTTTTAAAAAGGGTCTAGCAAAGGAAGATAACAAACGTGTCCAAATTTAAATCAAATAAAGCCCACTGTGAAGGATGAACCATGACGACCTTTTTATAATGTTTACAATTAAAAAAACTTGTATAGGAACAGCCAGAGATAAAATAAGAATGAATGATGTAGATGAAGAATAGCCCTCCTTCAAGGGGAGAAAAATAAGTAGTGTGTCAAAACCCAACCTACTAAGCATAAGTTACTTATAATCTTTAAAACAACCTCTCATGTGAAAGCCCTTTGGTCTTGTAGCATGGAAGAACACGGGCCCACCTACCATGTGCTTAAAGAAATCAATGCCAAAAGTTTTAGAAGGATAACTCTGAGAAATCAATGCCAACAATTTTAGACTGGAAATCCTTGGCCCTAATGCTAAAACAGATTTCCAGTTACAAAAATTAAGAAGGAAATTTCATTTGACGGCTCCCATAGATGGGGAAAATCCCAGGCACACATGGAGTGCCAATTACATGCCAAAATAACAGAAACTGAGAATTGAATGGCTTCTTCAAATTTCAGTCCCCTTTTGGACATTGTTAAAGCAATCAACTACTTCTATTAGTTTAGTTAAGCACACAATCGGTGATTTGCAAAATTTATGCAAGAATCTACCCTTATAGTTGAAGTTTATCTCTTGAAAACTCCTGTTTTTCTCCAAATCCATTTTGACCCAACTAATCCCAGCCATTTAGTTTAAAACTTAAATGGGTTGGATCATTAAAAGAGTGTGGGTTTTAGGGGATCAACCCATGAGTAACCATTAAACCATTATATGTTTCATTATCATCTACTTGCATACATTCTCATCCTCTCTTTCTATAACATAACAAAATATTAAACAAGAGCAAGATATACTCTAGGACCATTAAAAACACAATAGCTTCATGCAATTAACAAAGCCAACCTCATTTAATGGGATAAGACTTATTGTTTTGATTGAATGATTGAAGAATAAAATTAGATCAATGATTAGTTATAAAATTATTTTAAGAAATTAATGAAAGATTGCAATAAATAATTAACAAATTGACAGACACACATACGCATATTGTTTACCTAGAAGCAGGTTATGGGTCATTTAGCTTTTTCTCTAGAGTCAAGGGTTGTTAGTTGACCTATTAAGTAACTCATAAATAGTTGCTTAGTCCTGAATCCTATTTGATCCATCCATATTTTACCCCAACTTCAAACCCACCCAAACAACCATTTGCCGCCACCACGCACAAGTAACTTCTTTTATCTAACCACTACTGAAGCAAAATGAAAATCAAAAAGATATTTCTAGGGTAGAAAAAGTACCTATCACACCCAAATTCACACAAGATGGAGAATTGCTCACAGACAAAAGGAGCAGAAGACATTTCTGTTGTGGCAATGGATGATTGGCCTGATGAACTGCATTCTCCAGCACTAGTATCGGATGATTGGTTGCCACTAATGCACTGATGAACATGAATCAGTCCTAAATTTATCCTAAAGAATAAATTTGACTGGGATCTGCAATCTCTTGTTACATCCACATTCAATTCCTTGATTTCAACAGTCACTTTTGGTGTCTGCAATATTTAATAGAGAATTCCAAACACCTCAGAAAAGATTCTAACATAAAACCAAACAAAAGCAAAAAGAAAACAAAATGTGAGTTAGTTTGGTGTAATAAGTGGTTACTGGATTAAATGTAATAAGTGGTTCCTTCTCAAAATAATCATTACATTTAAAGATATCAAAAACTGTACCGGCGTGTCCTCACTCCACAACTAATCACAACATACTATTTTTTAACTACTCTTATAATGCAATTTATATTATGAAAAGCCACTACAACATGCAATGCTCGTGATAAATTTATTAGCACTATCTTTTCATTTAAAAAATAAAATTTGAATTCGAATGAGAAGAAACTACAAATTGGTGGAGATAAGAAACCCTTAAATCAGAACATTTAACAAAGAAAAACACATAAATACAGAACAATGTACATAAACCCTTGGAAAACAGGAATAAGCAAAACATGCCATGAGGTGCGTACCTTCAGAACCACACTTCTCACACAAAGTGACAGATATCTTGCAATATTGGCGACAACCATCATCCATTTTCTCTTGCCTGAAGATTGGGATGAAGAACGGGATTTCCTTCTTTTTGTTTTTCCATGGCTTTTGTTTGAAGACCTCAAAACACATTTTAAGTCACAGAGTAATACTTGCAACTTTGGAAGGGAAAAACAACTCGCCCAGCATAAGCTGAGTTTAATTTCACCAATGTATACAGATTCAACAGCACCCTGTATATGTTAAAAATCAAATAGTTATATTGCAATGAAACCTTAAAAAAGGAAGTCCAAAACAAACATCACATCCAAATAGAACAGGATTTAAACTGGGATCCCCCAGACTGGGGCTGTAATTGAAAAATCAAATAATTAATAACTAATAAATGCAAAGATAGACCACAATCCATTTAGTAATATCTCTGAAAGAGACAATACATAACAATTATATGGCACAATGGTAGAAGCTATAATAAGGATTTCTCTGAAATACACTGAAATACAAAATTTTGTCAACACAGAGAGGAAACAAAGGAAAGAGCACGGGGACTAAAGACAACTCAATCAACAAGCAATTTTTTTAATTTAAAAAGACGCACCACTAATTAAAAAAAAATAGTGATAACATTTTAATTTTATATGAAAACTAAAACAGCACCTGTGCACTGTACAGGAATAATCAAACTTTTTAAGAGGAAGGTACAGAAATTGGAACTTGCAGTGCAGGGTGAGTCTTTTTAAAATACAGAAATTGAGGTGAGTATAACAGAAACGATGATCCCATCTTACTTTTATACATATTGATAATTGTAAGTAAAAAATTGTTTTTTTTTTTTTTACCACACTAAGGTTTATTACCATCTTGTTAGAAATGAAAAGAGTTGTGAAACACAAGGTAATTTTAACTCGAGTTTTGATCAGGTAGAGAGGGGAACAGGAATAAAAATAAAATAAGCTAGCAAAAAATCAAATATATAATGAACACACGTAGAAATTATGCAGGATAACTTGATTTAAACATCAAGTTTTTACTTCATTCATTGTAATGACGTTTGATTAACCAAAGTGAACCTTGCTTCTTCTTTAGTAATCTGATAAGATGATTAGATAAATACCCAAATGCCCTTCAAAACTCTTATTATGAGATAAGGCAATAAATGAAGGCAAACCTTTTTAAACTTCAACGCCACATCTCTTAAACAATTCCATCTTCCAATATGAAATCCAACAGATGCTCCCAAGGTTTGGCTCAAGATGAAAGTCAAAAGTGTAGAAAAAAATCTGTAAAATAAAAGGTCAGAAAAAATTAAAAAGCAAAGGATATATTTGCAAGCATGATAAAACCAAACTCCTTACCACTTCAAGAAAAGGAATAAAGAAATGATTTATGCCAAGCTCACAGGCTTTTTCCCTCATGTTTACACTGCGTACTTTTCTAATGCGAAGGCATGTAGACATCTGTTTTGCCTAACTGTAAACTATTTTTTCTGTTGACTAATCGTATTGACAATAAACACTGAATCTGTCCAGAAGGCCTGGAGGACTTTTACCAGTAATTTCAGAGTTTAAATGTGTTATCCCATCTATGCCAAGATACCAAAAAAAAAAAAAATGCACAGCGAAGCCAAGAAAATAATTTAGTTCGAAAGACAATGCAAAGGGGCAATTCCATTGCTAAAAATTATGGCACAGGACTTAGACTTCAAGGAAGAAAAACACAACTGGAAATGCACAGTAAAGCTAAGAAAGTAATTTAGTCCCAGAGACAATGCAATGGAGCAATTCTGCTGTTAAAGATAATGGCACTGCACTTTAAACGCCAAAATAAAAGAAGAAAGAAATCCACAACAAAGCTAAGAAAGTAATTTAGTCCCCAAGACTGTGCAATGGGGAGATTCAATTGCCAATGATTATGGCACCATGGTTCAACCAAATGCACAGCATTTTTTCTGGGAGATAGGGGACTCTACCAATGCTTTGTTCTCCTATAGAAACTAAGCATAGTAGTGGTAGTAGAAGTAGGAGTAGTACAACTTCCAAAATTATTCAACTATTCCGATGGGCAATAAATACAACTAGCTGAAGAAAGACGGAAAAACAAAAGGCACCTTTCTCAAACGTTTCAAGAAACTCATTAAATCAGCAGCACTTAGTGAAACGAACTTTATAGCGTGGAATGGAAGGCAGAGATACTTCCCTTGATGTCTCTTTTCATGACTAAATGTTTAATTGAATAATATACTTAATCGGTTCCCCGTTTCCCATCATTATTTATTCAACTGAGCAGCTCCCACTCCCAGTGCAAAATTCACAAGAGGAACATTTTCCTCGGGCAAACAAAGCTTTCAATTTATCAGTACCAGCCTCCCAAACCTAAATATACTACGAGATTTTTAGATTAAGCTTGTTTACATGAAAACCAGGGAGAAAAAACTTGAAACCAGTAAGGAGGGAGGCATCGGGGGCTTACGTGTAGAAGATCCAGATGATAATGAAAAGTAGGCATAACCCAACGAAGAAAGACGATGGCATTTTGAACGAGAACAGCAATTTCTCTCCGACAAAGGGGTGATATCAACCTTGTTCTCGAAATTCCAACATATGAAATATCAACAGGCTTGTCTCGCATAACTTCATGGCGGAATGCATGCAACGCAGACATTAATGGCGAAATGATGCAAATCCTAAAATTAAGCCCCCGGATATTTTTGGAAATGATAATGGTGTAAAGAGAATCAGACTTGGTCTTCAAGGGCGTCACGGTCGGAAACTTTGATTGTCTTACACTTAGATCCGCCCCGTGAGGTGCTCGGTCATCAAAATTCAAAGAGACAGAGAGAGAAGCAGCTATTCTCAGTGACCAGTGAAAGCCGGGAAATTAAATCCAAGCGCGCGCAAGGCCACAGGCCCACAGCCTAGAGACAGCGTGATGAGTGATGACCTTTTTCTAATCAATAAACGCCAGCCCCCCCCCCTCCCCCGGGGGATAACCTCATTCGGTTAATGATTTCAAAATATAAGTTAAATATTGTTAAAAGAGTTTAATTTTTTTAAAAAATACTTGTCTTTTAAATTAATTTTAACTAATTTTTTTATAAATAAAAATAAATAAAATTTATTTTATATTTTGAACTGAAGGAATAATTAGAATTACTTTAGCATTAAAAAATTATGCTTTTATTAATATATAAAAGTAGCCTCCACACATGATTAACGCAAGTTATCCGATGCAATCATACAATCTTAATCGCAACTATAGCTCGCAAGAAAAACATTGGTATTGATGAATAAAAATAGTGCTGGGCTTTTTTGGGGATGAGTGGAAGGGGCTACATCATCATCATCGTCATCCTCAGTATATAGGGGTTGACTCTTGGTCTCCTGTCTCTCTGTTTCTTGCCATTTGATGCGAGTATTTCATATGAAATGGTCTTGTTCGGACAGGAGGACAAGGGATAGGTGGAAGAAATGGGTCACGAAATTATTCTGACGATCCTCCTGACAAAATCATTCGGCTTGCTTGCCTGGTAGGGCCAAATTTCTTTTCCTTTTACAAGCCTTCGGATCAATTGAAAATTTTGCCATGCAGAGCTTATGATCCCGACGGACTGCTTCTACTTGCAAATCACTATTTAGCTGTTGACATTTGCGTTTATAATTATATCCCATTTTTATTAGCTTTTTTCCCTGACTTGCAGGCCTCCATTGAGTTTGCTTTGTCCCCTGTAAGTTGCTAGTTGCCTTCTGGGTACTCCTATTTTCTTCAGTTTCTAGTATTCCTTTTTGGAATACCAGAGAATAGCCGATTTGATCACTAAATTTAGTGTGTTTGCTGTAGGGTTTTGTCTATTCGGACCATGGAGAGAGGTTCTCACTCCTGCAATCGTCGATGCCTTACTTTTTGGGTTATATTTTCCTTTTTTAAGATCATGGAAAAGGAACTTGCAGGGCTGTTTGACTGGTAATTTATGGATTAGTTCCTGCATTTAGAAGAAGTACTTAAATTTTGGGGCGCCGTATGGTGGGTCACGTTGGACTAATATCAAACTGTTAATAGTGCTTTGATCATTTTGATGGTAAACCAAACAATGAAAAAGTGCCTGTTATCCAACATGAGGATTATTGTCGATGCCCCACCAAGAAAAGGAGGAAATTGCATCTGTAACCATAAAACTGGCAAATACAATCTTGGTTGATTTTTACCACTTTTATGATCGTTAATGCAATGCCACTCTGATAATGCTGGATCTCCAATTCCTTCTACATCTCAAGTTCATCTTACTAGACATGTTTTCGGTTACCCAGCTTATCTAAATCTTATTATTACGGCAATTTTTTGGACTATTGCCGTCAAACAGTGCTATTAGTTCCCATTTAGTTGAAGTTCTTCTGAGACGTTACTGCTATTTCATTATTGAGGACCACATGCAAGTTGGTCTGTACCTGGCTAGCATGTTCAAAAATTATATAAAGTAACTTAAGAGGCTTGAGATCCAACATGAGTTAGAACAGTCCAAAGTTACAAGGAAATCAGAATCGTTTTGGCTACATCTATCATTTCTGCAGCTTGGCAGCAATTAATTCTTTCTTCTGTTTGAATATCATGTTCTCTGCTACCAGCTTCACCTCGGTTTAAATTTGTTTGCTGTTACAGGCTCCCATGGTGGCCTCATATGAAAGGGATGGCAACGATCTTGCTGGTGTTACCTTATTTTAGGGGTGCATCATACATTTATAAGTACTTCCGTAATCAATATTGTAGTGACAACAGATGGAAGAGGTCTTGGAATATCTTCAGCCAAAAGAGCACAAGTTTCAAATTGGATAATCACAGAAAACTCGTTGATGTGTCTAAAGGCCAAATTATTAGAAGTCAAATGCCGGAGAAGAAAACTGTAACAAATCAGGTCTGTCCAATTGAGTATTTGTCCTTTTTAAGGTACATCTAGTAACTGACAGCCCATTCATATCAAATTGTCTCTAAATCCAGACATGCATTTTGACATGTTAAATGTTGCAAATTTATATTATTTGGAGCAATAAATGATGAGCGACCTGTTGCAATTTTATTGCATATATTTTTGTGTAACATTGAAAAGGAAACCACTGCCCAAAAGGAGGCAGTTGTTTAGTACAGTTACCAACTCCTAGTAAGATTCTCATTTAATTAAACATTTATGGAATCACTATCATAATGTGTACTAATAAATACTAACTGCTTAATAATTCACTGCATCAGGGAAGTTGTGATCTTGGTTGCGACTTAACAGAAAGGAATCACAATAGATCAACTTGCAGGAAAAAAGCCCAGAAAGAATGGAGCTGTGCTATGTGTCAGATCACTACTTCCAGTGAACATTGCCTAGGCGTACATTTTCAGGGGAAGAAACACAGAGCCAAAGAAAATAACTTGAGTGTAGAGTTATGCATAACAGAGAGCACATACATGTCACCGTCTATGGCTTCTTACAGGGGAACGGAAGGGATGGTCCTACTCAAGAACCTTAACCAAATTGCAAATCTTCTAAGGCCGGTCTCCAGAACCATTAGATGGTGTGGGTGGATAAAGCCAGATTTTGGATGGACAAAGTTGAACACTGATGGTTCTATACATAAACAAAATGCCAGTTTTGGTGGGCTACTACGTGATTACAGGGGCGAACCATTATGTGCCTTTGTATGTAGAGTTCCACAAGGAGATATTTTCTTGGTTGAGCTATGGGCTATATGGAGAGGTCTTGTTCTTGCTTGGGGTCAAGGGATTAAAGTAATATGGGTGGAATCTGATTCAATGAGTGTTGTGAAAAGCATCAACAAAGAACAGCCTTCAGGTTAAAGCTAATAGATGTTTGAAATGTATATGGAAGCTTCTAAGTAAATTTGACAAGTATCAGGTCTCTCACACATGGCGTGAAACTAACAGAGCAGCGGATTATCTTGCAAAGATGGTTCTTCGCGGAAATGACGTAGTTCTGTGGCCTGATGACTTTCCGGATAGCCTTTGCGTGATTATCAAAGCTGATGCCAAAGGAAAGAAATATCCTAGATGGTGATCAGCAGCGCTGCCTGCTGCACTTTGTTTATAAACAACACGGCTTTTTTCGAATAGCAAAGCTAACTTGGGTCTAATTTGTAGTTGAAGGCGATATGCTGTATTTGCGTTCCTACTCATGCATGCATGTCCTATATCATATGGTATATAGCGTATTAATTTGGACAGATCAACTTTCTAAAGCATCAGTTAACGTATATTTTGTTTTCATAAAATGGCCTAATGAGTTCAAATTTTCCTATGGCCAGCCCAGAGAAGTGGGCAGTCCAGGCTGCGGTTGTTGGACGTTAATCTATATTAAGAAATATTGTCACTATTTTTCAATGCTGTGATACCCACATGAAATTGTGGTGCCTTTTCTTCTCGCATTTTTTTTTAGCATGATTTCTTCACATCTTCCCCGACTCAGACCTAACTCCAATTTGTTTCACGTGTAATTCAGGACATCATAAATAAGCCGTTGGCATATTGGGGCGGTGACCACGTGATGCGCATAATTTGTCGTCATAAGCATCAATGCAGCAGCATTCGCAAGAAGCTGCTAGCTCACAACAAAACCACAATCGCAACGTAACCTTAAAAACAAGAGATACGTAACAGGTGCACAGAGGCTGACTGAGAAACCGCAAAAGGCATCGTTCCCATTGCAATAAACCACTGTACAACATATTAACAATTTAATATGAACTGAAAAAGGATGGTCAATCCCCTGCACAATAGCTGCTGCCCTAATATGTAAAATACATGAGTATATATGCCCAACCTACCCAAAAAAAAAAAAGGTTATCAACCAAATCCAAACCCCTCGTTTGCTTCATGAATTGCAAGCAGTAACCTCTCTTCCAATTGTTGTCTAGTCGGATATTCGGGTAGGTCTAGCTGGTTGAAGCTGCAATAAAGAATGTAGGTTAAGTATGTCTAGTCGTCATTTGGATGATCAGTCACAAATAATGAAACATAGCTAGAACTTTAAAGATGTCAACAGCCACACGATAAATGAACTGAGCGGAAGCCGGAAGGTACCAAGTATGAGCAGAAGGCAAATGATCAGGGCTCCCATATGCTTTGTGTATCTGAAACTTCTGAGAACCTGAGATTCCTTGAAGAGCACTGAAACCTTCCAGAGGCACCTAGAATTTCGTGGCAAAAATCAGAGCCCACATAAATTTCATATTTTCTCAGCACAGGACTTCTTGTTCTAGTAAAGAAGAGCAAATATTTCCAGGTCTAAAAATCAGATCACAAGTAGGATAAAAAGTGTCATCTCCAGCAGGGAGACAGGCAAAGCTGAGATTGCCCCACAAACCACCATGGCGAAACTCAGAAGTGCCATTCTACGCCTATTCTATAAATTAAAGTTTGCGCCTCAGATAACAGAGAGTTGAGCCAATCACATACTCTACTTGGCATCATGAAGGAGGATTTTTTTACAATGGTCTACAATTAGAGTGAAAAAGGAAAAATAAAAAGCACTTCCAATACAAACCCAAACGCTGCACAGCAATTCGTATTCAGAAGACGTGAGAGGAAATGGTAACAAATTCAGTTTACAACTATTTAAAGTTTAAAAAAAATTCAAAAATCTGCATATGCGAATTTCACATTATTTATAATAGCCCCCCATACTCACCCACAACCCAACAGCAACTTACCTTGGATGTGCCTGTCACAAACTGCAATAGTCGAGCCTTATCTTCCTTGCTGAAACCATATACAACTTCCCAAAACCACTGGATAACTGGTGACGCAGCACTGTATCCAGAATACTCAGTATTTGCTCTCAAGTCATCCACTGAAATGATGTAAAACAATTTGTTAAAATTATCATTCCATGAAATTGAGTTGAAAAGATGGCAGGACTGGAGAGCGGTTAAGATGACCGGAAAAAAAAAAAAAAAAAGGATTTTTACGATGCAAAAAAACTCACAATCGATATCAGGAAGTCCACTGATTAATAATTCCAATTCTTTGTCATGGAATAAGGATATCAACTCCCTGGGAATCAATTCATTGAATCCTTCCAAGAAGGCATTTATTTGAGGTCGAATAGCAGTGGTCAACCGGTGCTCAACCACTAAATCAACATATTGATGCTTATTCTCCTCAGTAACTTTGATATTCCGTCCACCAGGAATCAACTCATAATCAGTTACCTAAACATTGTCAGCAAAATCAGACAATATAAAATTAAGTAATCTAATGTATTAACTAAAGAAGTATCAAGAGCAGTTATTACTTCTGTCCGCTCATATAAGATCAGTTTTTCTTCATCTGCGTCAATGCTAAACGTAAGATCCAAAACATCGCTAATATCATTCTGCAGACAAACCGGAAACGCATAAGAAACTGCCACAACAAGCAGAAAGCAATGGAAATTGTGCTGAAATAAAGAGAAAGCACGAAAATGCACATGCCTCAAGCATCCATTTCAAATTTTTGTAGTAGTCAGGATCAATGGCTTCAATATCATGATATGTAACTTTGACCCCAAGTATATGCTTGTAGAAAGAGCGAGTAAAATGGACATCCAAAAGCTGACCATCAAACAATGCTTTCCCAACCTGGACAATGTAGCAAGAGTAAGTGGGGAAAACACATATCACACATATCACAAACAGAGAACCAAAAACAAGCAGTTGAAATGGAACTTACCACTCTTCCAACAAATTTGAAATAAGAAAGATGTTCTGTTTGGTAAACAGAGTTAGGGTTCGGCTGGAATGTTGATTCATTGCCCACCGTTGTAAAAAGAAGGGCTCCTTTGTCAAAAATAACTCTGGACAATAATTGATACCATTCCCTTGTAAGACCACCTGCATCAATACCTTCCTCCCCTTGGAAGTGAACAGTCAACCTTCCCTTCAAATCTTGAGTAGATCTCATGCGAAGCTGGTTATAAGAATCCTCTAAAACATAGGCCCTTCTAACTGAGATTCTTAATGGGCTAGGATGATGGTCATGCTGATGCTTTATCTTTGACCGAAAGTGGGCACGCTTGTTGTCAAAATCAATAAATTTTGGAACCTTCAGCATGAGGGAGAAAGATTTCTCAAGCAAACCAGGATTTTGCCTGATAAAAGCATTTAGTAGTTTCCTATGCTTCTCTGAGAACTTGACAAAAACAGCATTTTTCTCATCCGCTTTGACAGGAGGTGCAGATATTTTCTGTTGGGTAGCAGATGTTCTGGCATCTTCAACATCAGAAACAACAGGGATGCCCACATCATGACCAGTACCTGGCTGAGCAGGATGCAGCTTCTCACAAACCACAAAGAAAGATTCTATGTATGGTAAAATATTTTGAGAGCCTGGTGGAAGTGGAGACAATGCATTTGATGGCTTAGACAAACTGGTACGAGAAGGGGTGAACAAATCAGAGGCAGACTCTGAGTATGACTCCATCTTGCTTATGCAACAGCTCAGTTCATGCCACAAAGGCTCTAAAGCTGAATTGATTTCCCATACCTCAGAAAGAGCAGGAGTAATTCTATCATTCTCTTTCTCAGTCAGTGAAGCAACAAGGGAACTTAAGGCTTGCAGAACTCTCAAAATTGCAGCCCCATCAGAAGATGTTGTGCTAAGAAGAGATCTGATTGCTTCACTGAAAACACGCAATTCATTCATTGCGGCAGAAGTCAAGTTTTGAACTGCTCCAGCAAGCTCAGTGACAAAGAGCTGACAATGAGTTGGAGCAATGGCCACTAATTTCTTCATTACCTCCGCCACGAGAGCATATGCATTATCCGACAATCTGAAAGGAACACATTAGCATCAGATCATGGTCATAATTGTTCAAAATATACAGAACTGCTTTTTTAAAAACTAGATAATCTGGTATAATGGAGAGTGCCATGAAGTTCAGTATTAGCAGCAAAAGGCAGGTGAACTGCCTGAAACAAGACCCAGGTAACATAATGATAAGCATTGAATGAACATGCTAGAAGAAACAATTTCCCACTACTCAATTATAAATGGGTGGAACTTTAGCAGAAAAATCTGACAGATTATAAAGATAAATTAATTTTGCGCCACTTGTGTCACAACCCACACTTCCTACATTCATCAGCAGCTCCTGGTTACAGCAACTAAATACATCTAGGCCAGCATGTTAACAGAATTAGCGCAATCATCAAGCATAAGCACACAGTCATACCCTTCTTGTGCAAGTAATGAACACAAAAGCCGAAGTTCTTCCTCTGGTAGGCTACTGGGTACCCTGTGAGTCTCATGTTCCTCAAGATGGGCGGCAGTTTTGGATTTGGAGGAATCAACAGCACTAGTTGATTTATCAAGCCCAGAAGATGAAACACCAGGATCAGTATTTGCATCTGCCTCGAATGCAGAAATTTGTGGACCAGATGAGGGCTCAGAAGTAGAACTTGGAATTTTGTCAGATGAACTAGACTTACTTCTAGCACTATCAATGATAACCTCAAGAAGATTTAGCAGCTGCAAATAACAAGAAATAAATAATAATCATATCCAAAATGTCCTCAAGCAGATAAATAAGCTGCCAAAATACTATCACAAAATCAAATCAACACCTGCTCAAGATGCGCTATGCTCCTCAGATAGAGAGGCTGCCTTAATAGACTCAAAAGCATTGCAAGGGACATGTGTTCATTATTGTCATTGTTAACTTCGTCTCCAACAACCATCACAGATTTGCCGCGTGCCTTGTTTGCATTATCTGATTCTCTTGGTGCATAATGAGGACCACCAAACTCAAGAAAAATTTTTGCCACATATGGATGATTACGAGAAAGATACGTCAGAGTTTCAAGTATGCGACGGGAAAGCAAGGGAGGAACTCCTATGTAACCAAACAAACACAAAATATTAGCGAAATCCTCTTCCTAAGGAAAAGATAAGGGGCAAAAAGATTCAGCAAATAATATAAATGACCACTCTGGCATAAACAAGCTTGATGAAAAGGGAAATGACCTCACCTACATACTCTAACTTATCACTCTCTTTGGGAAAATTTAAAATTATGAGCATTTATTAAGAAAATTGACGAGCTGCTTAAAAACATGGAAGATATGCAGGGCAAGCTCTGATGTGCTAGAATCCAATCCAGATATTAGATATTAAATCATTATAAATTCGTCTACCACTACCCATTACCATAAACATCTTGCAACAGAGAATAAAATAGAACTTCATCCATAATCAAAAGAATATATATCAATCACCAATGACTATTACAACAGATATCACATCACCGATGATATCACAACAGCTCAAACTATACGTTAATCATTAATAAGATTGATCAGCTGGTCTTACCATCAAAAGATTGAGGGCGAGAGTACATTACATTGCTCTGACAACCATAAAGTCTATATGGTGGCTCAACCGCACTAGAAGAGCTTCCAGATGTTTTTACATCAAGCATAAGTAAGTCCATCAGAATTTTCACCAAAGTAGTTCTAGTTTCACTATGGGCACAAAGATTCAAAAGAAGCCTCTGCAATTGACCTTTATAGAGTGGCTGCAAAATGAAAAGGGCAATAAATAAACAATAAAGAAAAAGCATTCCAAAGCACCACTCTGTACCATGAATTGATACCTGAACCACACGAAATAAACGAATCATGGCATGCAAAGCTTCTGTGTCAACTAGAGGTGCTCCATCAGCTTCAACTACCTTAGCTCCAACAGATCTGCGTGAAGAAATACTTCCACCAGCCCTATCTAAGCCTGAACCAATACCTTCATCACGTCTAGAAGTCTCACCTCTACGACTTCTTGGGTACATACCAAAGAGGGTACGACTGTAACGGTGTGCAAACCTCTCCCGCAAAATATTTGCCTCAGCAACAAGAGCAGGTGTAAGATTGGCAAGGATAGCGTCAGAAGATGTTAGAAGAACCTGAACAGAATACAAATATTATAGTACATATGTATAATCATGTATAATCTTTTTTACTACATTAATAGAATTCCACTGACAAGCTCACCTCTTCTCGTAACTCCGAAGGAAATGTTGCAATTATTGAAACTGTATCCATTTCAACAGGCTGACCTTCCAACTCCTGGGACTGGTGGAGCCTCTGTGCTTGCTGTTGTGCTAAAACTTCTGCTCGAATATCTGGAGGGAGGGCTGCAAGGAATTCTGGATCAATATCTCCGGTGTTCTGAGACTCAACATTTGATGGTTGAGCTGCTTGTCCCTGCTGAGCTGAGAGAACTTCAGCACGCAACTCCTCAGGAAGAGCATCTAGAAAGGCAGGATCAATTGCCCCAGAACCAGAATCACTGTTCACCTGCTGCTCTGCAGCTGGAGCTTCCTGATCTGCATCTCGGCTGGAATTTTCAGAAACTTCAGTAACACTATGGAGGGAAGCATCTCTCCCACTTACATGGGAAGAATGACCAAAAGTCATATTTGATCTTCTTGTACGTGCAACTTGGGAATCACCAGCAACCCTCTCTGCAAAAACCTGCCTTTCTCCGCCATCATCATGGCCATCAACACTTCCTATCTCAACATCTAGGCTCCGAAGGCTTTCACCAAAAGTTGCCCCACTACCACTACTCTCTTGGCTAACAGCCTCAACATCCCGCACAGCTACGTCACTATGCTCAAACTGCATCTCAATCACTTGTGAATGGGTGCTTGGTACATCAGTCTGCAGAGATCCAGTTGCTGCAGGTCTCGTATCAGCATTGTTGGGATTATCAATTGCTGCTGGAGTCACTGTACCACCAGCTTGATTTGCATTGCTTTCAACTGGAATATCTGGTCTACCACCACCTGTATCTTGTGCTTGGTTGACCTCAACTTTATTGTGAGGACCTGTTTCCGCTACCTCCTTATCAGATGACTTTTCAGGGATAGGCCGCCTTAACTGAGAGACAAGCAGGTCCTCAAGACCTGGTGGCACAACACCATTATTTGATCCACCACTATGCTGGTTATTGATCCATAAATTCAAACGGTGCCCATGGCGACCACCCCTCAGAGATCGGAAAATATTATCCAAACCTGTTGAGCGGCTCTCCAATATACTATCTGAATTTTTTTGCAAAGAGAAAAGCCATTAAAATACAAAATACAAGTGTTTGCCAAAAATCATAAAAAGGACACCGAACAATATATCAATATAAAAGTAAAATATAAAAGTTTTCTTATTAACAGTAAGTGGTAGTTATCTACTTATGCATTCTCTTATCATTTTTTCCCCTTTTTCTTCTTATTTTTGTCTCACCCACACTTTCCCTTCTAAATCAGACTTTTTCATTGGAAAAAAAAAAAAAAATCAACACTCGGGTGGATACACAAGATTTAAATTTAAATTTAAATTGAAATAATAATATATTTCTAAATATAAATAAATCAATTTACATATTTGTCGTTATTTAATATACTCACTACATTTTGATTTATATTACTTGAAAATTTATTTTTATCAATATGTATATTTTCCTTTTCCAAAACTAATAAATTTTATGTAGATAATTATCATTAAAATTCACAATTTATTTTTTAAAACTCTTCGGTAATAAGCTAATATATATGTACATTTTTAAAAAAAATTATATATTATTTCGTTATAACTTGCATTTTTTCCTTATATTATTTTCAATTAATAAAATTTATTTTTCCCAAAACAATTCCTTGAACTGGTATGACATTTACTTCTTAAAATTATATTTATTTTTGAGGTTGCCTCTTCATTTTTAAATTTGAACTGATGTTTGCACTAAAAATTCAGAATGATTTCAATTATGTAATAATAATTTACCATACAGAGATTTATCTCTGCTATATTGGAAAATTAGAATAATACATCAGTGAAAAAAATAAGAAATATATAAAGGAACAAACCTGATGGCCCCGGAGATGACTGGAATGAAGGTGGTCCAGCTAGGAGCGGATGGCGTGAAGGATCAGCAGCATCACCAGTTCTGCCCAGTAGACTGTAAATGGACGTTGTCCTCCCAGGACGTCTAGATCCAAAGAGTTCAACGGGCATCACATGGAGAGCATCATTTGGAAAACTATTTTCCCTCCCAAAAACCTCAATATGATCAAAAGCATTTATTCCATTAATGCCCTCCTCAAGCCGCAAGATAACTCCATCTTCATCATCCTCATCATCCTCGTCATCTTCCTCCATCACTTCATCATCAAAATCATCATCATCGAATCTCACGATCATCTTGATCAGTGTCATGATGTGGCAAGTGATGGACTTCGTCTTCTAAATCATTATGTTCCTCATCATCCTCATCATCTTCCTCTACATCTTCACCGTCATCTCCAGACATCTCATCATCCTCATCCTCATCATCATCAAGATTTTCCTGTTCATGAGGCTGGATTCCAAACCGAATCTCCACATTTTCAATGCCATTCTCAAGACCCCTTGCATCCTCAGAAGTTTCACGCATGTAATCATCCTCATTAGCTGGAGCAAAACTGCCATCAAGATCTTGATCATGTTCCATATCATCAGTGACAGCTTCAGACTCACCATAAGACTGAATTGCATTATAAGATGCAACCTGGTCTGCTTGAAGGGAATCATTATTGGCCTGAGTTGTCATTTCCATGGACTGGGATGCATCATCAATATTCTCCATTCTTCCAGATTGACTAAGATCCAAGGACTTCGTTGAGCTATCACCCTTCCCAGCAGTAGAATCAGCTGAATGGACATGCTCCTTAGTAACCAACTCAAGAGCTTTAACAATTCCAGTAGCAACTTTAGATGAGTCAGCATGGTCTAAGTCCAACACCTGGAGGGTACGAGTGAACGATTTAACCAGACCAGTTTCCATAAAAGTGGTAGAGGCCTCTGCTGAGATTGAAGAACCAGCTGGTGTACGGGCAGCTAAAACATCGTTTAGTAGATCAACAAAAACCAGAATGTTATTACTTGGTGGCTTAACACCTCTACAAGAATCAACAAAGTCACCCATAATATGACTAATCTCACTGAAAACTCTCCTCCTTGCCTCTGTAGATCGAACACAAGCAGCCACCATAAATTGATTAGCTCTGGTTGCAAGTTTCTGCCTCCAATCACCATCATTTTTCTTGTCCTTTTTGGCACTTCGAAAATAAGGAAGAAAATTATGAAGAATATGGTGAAAAATTCCACCCAAGCTTAAACCAGCAGGACTACTCTTTTGATGAGTGAACTTAGTTCTGCCCATTTCAGCATCTCGCCGGAGAAGAACATGTACAGCTGATGAATACATCAATAGTATTTCTGTAAGAAGCTTCAAAATAAATACAACTTTTGCGAGCGATGCAGAAGTTTCCTGCTCGCTGGTTTCATACTCCTCGGACATGGTGGCAACTGCTTTTCCTTTTCCCTTAACTGCAGAGATATCAATGTCCATGTCACTTGATGTTGGGGTGCTAGGTCCAGCATTTATGGTTACATCATCCTTTACAGGTGGTACAAAAGTGCATATGGACTCAAGAAGAAGTTCTATCACGTTTATAAAACTCTGGGTGGGTTTTCTATGAATCTTGCCACTCTTTGAATTTGAATCATGGCTTTTGCCATGGCCATTGCCAGAAGCTGCTGTGTTTGCAGTTCCCAAACCAACCTTCCCATCGTTAATCTGTGTTTTTTCTTTCTCTAATGATCTATCCTTCTCCTTTTCCTTCTCCTTAGGTCTGTCTTTATCCCGATCTTTCAGCAATACAATGTAAGGCCTATCACCTACCAACTCAACTTGGCAGACAGATTGAGCAGCCTGCATGAAAATAACTGGATCTCGAGAAATTACAGAAGCTAAATTAGACAGGAAATTGCGAGGACTGATCCTTCCAATTGGATGCCGGTTAGAAGCAACGACAAGACAATGTTTAATTTCAGATTCCATTGCTTGTTGGAGAGTTTGTGGATCTTCAAGGACCTGACGTATAATACTAGCAGCAACGTTGTCAAACCCTGGGAATAAGCTACTGGTTGGCAAAGAAAGCAGTGAACTTAAACCCCCAGCATCAAGAAAGGTAAGAGCGACAGAATGATTCCTTGTAAGATTGGAACAGAGCAACAGAATAGCATGCATTGTGTCTGATGGAAGCTGGTGCTTCATACAACTACAAGCAATCTCAACAAGTCTCTTCTGCTCACTTATATCTGCATACTTCATAGAAAGTCCCAATGCAGACTGCAATTTGTTTTGCCTATCCTCATCAATGGTAATAGATGCCTGCTGGTTATCCGCTGCTTCTTTCTTCATCTGCTCCGCAATTTCAGAGTTCAGCTTTTGATCCACTTGCAACAGCCTGTCTAATGCAAGAAAAGCTGCCATAACCCATTTTGGCACCTGCTGTTTCACCCTACAATCAAGACTGGAATGCCACTGGTAGAGTAAATCTGAGGCAATTTTTATCAAACCAATCTTGGATGCAGCTTCACGTGCCTCAGCATCCTCATTCAAAATTAATGCAAAAACATGGAAAAGTGCAGCAAGCAAGGTATTATTTCCATTACAGGGAACCAGGCCACATTCTTTGATCCGTTCAGCAAGAAAAGAGACAATATTAGACCTATATTGACCATTGTCTTGAAAGCATATCATCACAAGCAAGTCTCGGACAGGAAAAGCAAGGGATTCTTTCTGCAAAAGTTTTGTGCAAGTAGATAATAACTCATCAACTGGTGGAAGTTGAACAATCTCTTCCTCAATCTGCTGAGCATTATCATTTTCAGTAGCATCTTTTGTGTCTGATTCAGAACTCCCAAGGGACATGGCAAGTGCACGGGCAAGTTCATCATCTTCTTGAATATCTTCTGGATGGGAGAACAACCACTCCATTGCCAACTCGACACTATTTGACCCAACTTGCCTCAAAGCTTCCTCTGCTCGAGACCTGGAAAACCCCATCTCTACAATGGTTGAAATGGCCGTTTCATTTGGAGGAGGTCCTGTGATACGAGCACTGTTGCTGCTGTTGACATTTTTCACTTCAACCCCATAATAAACATGCTTAATAATAGAGATTACAGTAGAAATAAATTCATAGCTACAATCAACAAACTGGGGATGAGTCCAAACTGGAAGTACAGCCTTCAACACCATGGACTGGAGGACCTTCACGAAAGTCTCAGCATCCCGTGGGAAAGGAGTATCACAGTTTGCAAGGGGCTGTGCAAGCAAGTGCTTTGTAAATGAAGATAAAATAAAAGAGGAGGTCACTAGATGGTCAATAAATTTACCATAACTAGCTAAAGGACCATAAATCCACGAATGGTCACCATCATCTTTGTCATCCTGCTTCAAATTTCCATCATCAGTGTCCATAGGGGATGCAGGAGCACGATTAACTGCAAAGAGCAACTGACTTGTTGCTTCAAATGTTGTCAAAACAGATTGAACAACACCATGTCCATACAAGCAATTCAATAAAATAGGATTGCAGGAATCTGGCTTCTCCATTAGAATGCTATCCATCAAACCAATCACTTTACCATAGTAACGACATTTTATTGATATGGATGCCTCTCCTGCTGAAGTACTTACACGGCCAAAATTCATATGATCCAGAGAAATGGATGCAAAAGTTGAAGCCACTGACTTTGCTGCAGGACTTACACTCACCAAATCATCACGGCGACGAGAAGGCAGCAGCATTACCTTTCCTAACTCTTGAAACAGATGGGTGATGTGAAATGAGAGTGATCTGACCATGTCACAACAAGAGGTATAATACGGCCTCTGCTTGTCATTTTCTTTCTTACTATTTGCCCCAGATGCATCAGAAGATCCAGAATGATGCACATGATCACTGGAAGCCAACCTCATGTTCGAAGAACTAATGGAACTTGATATACTATGAGAACCAGTGGCTCGGCCCAGATCTCGATACAAGTTTATAAGGTCAAAAAACTGAGATTCAATGCTCCATCCGGACGTCCTCCTCCTCAGTAATGGATCAAGAAACTGCCTGAAAGAGTTGAACCTTTGCTCTTCAGTTTCATTAGCATCCACTTCTGCCTGTTGTGAATCAGCAGATGAACAAGCCCCATTATCCTCAATATCAGGCTTTGTATCTTCAAGTAGAGCAATTTGCCACAGAACCTCACGATGCACATGTCCAATGTCTTCCAGAACATCTTTACTGCCATTTCCAAACTCTGTCAGCAATGCAGTCACCCAACGGTTATCTTTTGAGGCAGCAAGAAACAGAAGGAACTCAACCAAGAAAAGTGAAGAAAAGATGCCACTATCAGTTGTCATCTTTGGATCCAGCAATAAATGTCCAGAAGCTGCATCAAACCCTGCTAGTGCTTTCTTCAAGTGCTCTCTAAGAGAGGAGCAAAAGGCACGTGCTAGAGGAGCTGAGTGATGCTGAGCAAACCCCTTAAAGACCATGGTGCTATGTAAAGCAATAGACATGCCATCTGAGGATTGTGCAATAACAGGTCGTAATAACAACTTCAGCAAAGCTTCAATTCCCAACTTTTCCACGAACAAGCGACACGTTTCAGAATTTTCCATCATCCTGTGAACCAATACCATCAAATGAAAGACGCATAACTGTAAGAATTGATCATCAGTTATCCCTTCTGCAGCTGAATCTGCTGTACCAACAAGGCAGCAATGTCCTTCATTTTCTTTGTCTGCAGAATCTGTTTCCATTGCAGTACCCTCGTTATCTTTTCCAGAAGATCCTACACCAATACTATCCCCAAATGATGCAATCTTATGGATGATTTCAATAATCATATCAACACCAGTACTTCGCAGCGAAGACACATGACGCAGAAGTTCCTCCACAGCATTTGCAAGAGGAACAATGGCTTCATTCATTGCCAGGACATACTTTTTACTTGTGAAGATGTCAACAAGGAATCGCAGTGCTGAAGTTTCTCTAACAGCCTCTAGGCCCTTAGCATTGAGACAAATAGCACCAAGACCATTAGGAATACATGACAAAGCCCTTGAAGAAGGAAACACTCGAGATACAACAGAAGATAAAAAAGCATCAGGAAGACCCATCTCATGCAGAGCAGAAAAACATGTGGGATCTTTGTGGATTACTTCACTCATAACAGTAACAGCAGAGTAGTAAATATCACCTCCAAACTTGTCTACATTCCTGAATATCAACACTAGTGTTGCAGGTAAGGAACTGTCATGTGAGTGTTGAGATCTGGTAGAGTTTGAAGCAGAATATGTTGCGGAACCCAGGGCCTTGAGCGAGACCTTTATGAGCCTCTTTTGGAAGGAAAGCTTATCAGTGTTAAGTCTTGAGCTTTCACCAGTGACCATCAAATCATCATTTTCTCTAACCAAACCTACGATTCTGTGCACCTCTATCTGTAGCCTCTGAGCTAAAAGCTCAACACCCCCCAACTCTTTAAAAAGTGACACAGCTGAGCTGCTATAGTCCATAAGCTTCTGAAGGGTTTTCACAGCAAAACAGACAAGATGAATGTGTGCCGGATCAGAATCCTCCAACAAAGGCAAGAATGTAGGTACCATGCCAGAACCCCTAATATTACTCCCAGAAGTTGAGGTTGAAACCACATGGAGCAGATAGAACTGAAGAAGTGCCTCCACAAAGGCAAGGGACGATGGATCATTAGAACTTTTAATGACAAAATAGCCCGTTGAAGCACATTCAAAAGTATCATGCGGTTCCCACCAGCAAAACTTATACTAGATCCACTCAATATCCGTGCCCGTTCATGAGATGATGTATATGCTGCCAATTGAGCTCCCAACGCAAGCATTGCTAATGTTCTGAGAGATCCAGACACAGTTTTCTCAGATCTCACAACCCTAATTAACTCGTTTGTATATTCTGGTTCATTAGCAAAAAAGGACACAAGTTCATCATGAGCATCACTGGACTGGACCAGAACAATAAAAGCAAGAAGGCAAATCCTGCTATAAAAACTGCATATTCTTGGTGACCGGAAGGATCGAGCATATCTAATTCTGGTGAGCAAAGAAAATCGAAGATCTGAAGGAACACTATACTGCTCAATACACTGCTTCAACAAGAACAAATCATCTTCTTTCCGCAAATGCATATCTGGCATATGAATAACTCTCAAATTCGGGGAATCCTTATCACCACCGTGTTCCTTAGATTGGGCACTAGATCCATGCAATTCAAAATACAGAGTAGACCCAATGCGGTAATTAGATTGATCACAACCATTCTCTACATCAGAAGGAAACAAGCACAAAGCTTCATCTTGGGTTTTCTCATTTGCAATAATACAAGAATACAATCCCAAGCCCTCCTCCTTGCTTCCCCATCCCTGTGCTAGGGATAGGAGATAGCTGTTAACTGAACCACACCCAACCATCTTTGCGCTTCCATGAAGCTTAGACGGATTTATTTTTACAAGTGCAGAAAGAGTTTCCAACGCAGCTATAAGAATCTCAGGATCTGTTGAAGCTAATAAAAGCTTGAAATGCTGAAAAGAGAGGACAAATATCAGAAATAGAAAATTTTCAAACATTAAAAGAAAAATTTTACACGGCTAAAATAAAAGGGTGAAGATACAGAATTAAGACTTCCTAGAACAGAAAATACTTTCTGAACAACTCACCTCTAAGCCATCGAATGAACTCTTGTTAGGACAATTCTCTAAAATTATTTGCATCACCCGTAATATTTGCATAATTGCATATTTTGGTAATGGACTTTCATCTTCTAGAATCCTATCAGACAATGTCAAATCATTTCTACATGACAAATACACCTTGAAGTACGTATCAAAATGAAGAAACAATGGTCTCCAGTGATGGAAATTGCCCTGAAAAATAAGATGGATGTTTATATTTTAGTGATAGAAAAAATAAAATACTTTGTTCAAAAAATTAGACTGATATTACCTTATTGTACTCCCACCGAAAGCCAGAGAGCGGTATTCCTATATCTTGTAATGGACACTGTATGACCTTCTCAATGAAGGCTTTGATCTTGGGAGGCTGAAATCCATGGATCACAAAATTCAGATTACGTTTACTGGCCACTAGGTAAGGACAGAAGAGCAGAAAAATAACAAAACACGCCCCCTAGACCTTGTGCTTCCAATGGAATTAGAGAACAAAAAAAAAAAGAAAAGAATTCAAGTTGAAAGTAAAAGAAACGCAGCTGATCCAAATTTGAAATCTAGAAATCTCCTATGCATTCATATCTCGTAAAATTTATTTTGAACCTTCCTTCCCTACGCCTCTCCACCTTTATCGCTTTAGGTTAGAATGAGTAGAACAATGGACTTTGAAAATAATGTGTCTAATCCGGTTTAGCTGAACAGAGGTGAAATAACTATTGACAAATAATAAACAAAAACAGAAAGCAAATAGGAGTGGACCAGCTCAAATTATTCAGAAACTTGTCATATCTAAAAAGTAACCGCACGAAAAGAGTGTGTGGGTTTGTTGATAGAGACAAACGAAAAATATTTCACTCAGCCACAAAAGGCAAGCACCTTGCCACCGTCAAAAAAGTCACCAGATGGCCAGAGGCAAGAACCTTTATGGCATATCAATCTCGCCTCCACCATTAAACTGCATGGGATCTTATGAAGTACTGTATTATTGAATATTAATTTCGTTGACGTGTAGCGATTCTCGAGACAAACTGAAGGAGCTTATTTCCCTGATAGTTCTCTAGGATATTTCACATTCTAAGTGCACATCTAGAACAAATAAGATGTCATGCTTGTCATGACAAGCTACACTATTAATTTCCCTACTTGAGCTCGAAAATGTCAAATCTACATTTGGGAGCCGCAGGTATCATTGCCAGGTGGGCTTCCCCAAAATTAGAAGGGGGGGAAAAAAAAGAGAACAAAAATAGGGAGCGTAAAACCGATGCAATGATAAAAGCAAGTAATGACAGACGGTAGAAACTTTGATAGGATACAAGCAGACGCATCCGATCATTTTCTATCAGTGCACATGACTAAGATAGTGAAGAAAACCTTAACAGGCTTACTCATTAGTCCAAGATTAATCCATTAAAACACTAATCGTGAATATAATGAACTGGGCAGTTCAGGTATAAATGATGCAACGATGAGGGTTTTCCAAATAAAAAGAATGATTTAAAAAACTCACCGGTTCAGAGTCCAGTTTGACGGAGGGGCCAATGGCACCGTCGCTGGACAAAAGTTGCCGCAGCCTCGACGGCCAGCTCGATCTAAGGGTCGTCATCTCACCTCAACTTCACTACTGCCCAACGGAAATAACAATAAACGCCATAAGAACCAAAACAAAGACAATCCATAAATAAAGCAAATCGATGACAAAAGCACATAGATTGAAAAAGATGACGCCGGAATCAAAAAGTTAAATTCGCTAGGCGTGTTAGAAAAACAGATCATATTCTTCACACACATATAAACATTGCTGCATACTTGTGTATATGAAGCGGAGAACCGATTACCTGAAAGATGAGGGGAAACGGGATTGAGCGCATACACATCCGAAGTGCGCAGAGAATAGAACGCAGGGCGAGAAAAGATTCGAAGTGAAAGCCCGAAGAACTGTAAGAGAAAGAAGAGGGGGTGAGGTTGAGAATCGCTACCCGAGGGCCTCCGCGAATGAAATATTTATTTTCTGCAAATTGTTGGCCCTTTTCCAAGGTAGAAAGTGTGTTTAAATAGGGGTCCCATGGTGCTCATCAGGTGATGAGCACCCCAAGCTCATCACCTGATGAGCGGACGTTTAGATTAATCGGACGGTCCATATTTAATATTATTAAATAACGATTTAAATAAAAAAATATATTTTTAAAGAATGATAGTATGAGATTATCTTTATTTTATGTTATACTATTAAAAATTATTTTAAAAAATAAAAATATAAAATAAATCTGGACCGTCAGATCAGATCTGGACGTCAGATGGTGATGAGCATGGGTGCTCATCAACTGATGAGCACCAATGCAAATCCGTTTAAATAGTGAGAACTGCGCAGAGTCTTCTTCTACTGCCTACGAGAATTGGGAAAGGCGGTTTTACCTTGGTTGCCCTAGGTTTTGTGGTATTACACCGTATCTAGTTTTTTTTTTTTTTTTTGAGTGATACACCGTATCTAGTTTGTTTTTGCGTTTTTCATCTTACTTCATTGCGCTCTTTTTTTTAATAGGCCCGAGCGCTTGATTCCTTTTAATTAAACTGAAAATTTTAATTTTATATTATTTTTTAAATGAACATAATCGCCTGGTATTAATAATATTATGATGCGATATCAATCATATATTTTATTTTCTAAAAAAGGCTGACATGAAACCTGACACATATTTAATAAAATATATTGATTTTTAAACAAAAATAATATAAAAAATGTCACTATTAAAAAATAGGAGAATTATAATCAAATCCCATGTAAGAGAAATAACTACTAAATGATCTAATAATAATCTAAGCAGTCTGTAATGACAAATTTTAGAGTGAATAATAACAACCTCTGATACTTGTTTTGTAATTTTTTTTCTTACATGGGACCTTGTTGTAATTTTCTCTTAAAAAACCTATGGTTTATCACCACTTCCCTTTTCTTAATATAAATTAATTTTGGATAAATAAAAAATAAAATAATTAATTATGAAAGATATGATATAATCTTTGTAAACCATTTTTGCGTAACAAACAATAAATATGGTAAATAAAATAAATTGACCTCTTATTTTTATAATTAAATTTGACTTCAGTTTATTCCCGTATTAAGGGCTAGATAGAGTACTTTTTTTTTTTTGGTAATATAGATGGAGTGCATTGTTGTTAGTAATGAAACATTGTTTTCCAAAAAGCATTTATATTGTTTTTGAAACCCATTTAATCAACCATGTTTTTATTCATGATGGATTCTCTATACATTTATACATAATGTTGATTTTACTTGTTAATTAACAGTATTTAATGAGTTTTGTTTGATTAAACTTGTTTTTAAAGATGCCGGTCTAATTGGGCAAAATTCAACTATTATTGGGCACAACTGAGATGATTCTCTATACATTTTTTTTTTTTTTATACTTCCAGCATCCTAATATTATTTATAATATATCTAGCATCTTAAATCATAAATCAAATATGAGTACCAAACTCGGGCAATAAAATAAAGGGATGTTGGGTGCATTAAGAAAAGAAAATAATATCAAACATCAAATCATTGAATAAGCCGTAAATAAAATTAGAGTGTCAAATGCTATTTTTTCCTCTCATATAGTCACACCAAATCAAACTCAATGCCCATGCTTAAGCCAAGAAGACCGCTTTCACTGACCATCGCCTGCTGATTATTTAGTTAAAAAATATGGTTATTCTTGTGATATTTTTACAATGTTTACTTCAATTGACCACACGAGGCTAGTTCATACAATAAAATGTTAGCAAAAATCAATAGTTTAATCCTATATTTAGCATGAGGGAATTAGAGGGGATAAAAAGAAAAATTTTAATAAGTTCAGTTTAAAAAATTAGAGAGGTAAAACGAAAATTTTTTGATAAAAATAAAATATAAAATAAAAGAATAAGCAAAATTAGTTAACAAATTTTAATCCTCTTTTTTTAATTTTTTAAAATGAACTCATTAAAATTTTCTCTATATTTTCTAGGACCATAAATGTTTTTAATGCATCGGTCACTTATATTTTTCTAACAATCCATGCAACTATTCATTCATGCCTATATATTAATCAGTTATGGCCATTAATTAGGGAAGTTCATTAGTGAAATCGTCAAGTTAACGTCTCATGTACTGGGCAAATAGCCAGAAGAATATATTTATTTTATTTTATTTTAAGCAGTCAAGCTATGCAACTGGACAATAAAATTGTGACCGCAAAAATGTTATCTGGTCTTCTATTTTTAAAAGCAAGTGTCGCTTTAATCATTGAGTTTTATCGAGTTTCATTTTAATCTTTTTTTTTTTTAAAAAAAATGGCGTGAAAAAACCTTTTGACGTTTGATGCGATCATGAATTATGATAGCTTGCACCTTGCAGGTTCAAAATCCATCCTATTAAAAAATTCGTGCGTTATTTATTAAAAATATAATAATTAAAATTTGTAATCAATAATTGATTAAATGATACTTTTAATACTTTAACTTTATCTAAAATTTTAATTTAATTTTTTACTTTTAAAAATTATATTTTTATCATATAATCTCAAAATCATTTTTTAAAAAAAGAGTATTGAGCAATTGAATGTTAGTAAAGTATTCTCAAATATGAATATATTAAATTTAATTTTTAAAATGATTACAACTGTTATAAAAAGTTGTCATTTAAAACTAATGATTTTTTAAAAGCATGTACAGAGTTAAAAAACCAAAATGTATACCTTTACCAAAATAATTAATGGCTTGAGATATAATGTCGAAAGATATCTTGATTCACAGCATAAAAATATCAGAAGATAAATTATTTGTTATGATATGTTTTAAAAAGAAATCGAATCTTACATTTGAAGTGAATAAGTTTTATTTATTTAGGAGAAATTTATCAATCCTTTTTATGTAAGGCGAAATAAAATTTTCCTCACATTTATCCCAGACTCTAGCATCACTTGTTCCAATTAAATACTCTTCCCGTCTTGACTATAAAATCCAGGTGAGTGTTTTAAATAGTACTCCTCCGGTCCTAATTATAAGACCCAATTGACTTATTTGAGAAAATTAAGGAAGTAAGTTAAGTTGGTTATTTATAATAATAAGTGTTGTTATTCCTAAAATATCCTTGCTAATTAAGTATATTGGCTAAAACTATCATTATTAGAAGGATTATCTTGGAAAAAAATGCATAAATATAAGAGACAAAATAGATTGGGACTTATAATTAGGACCAAATAAAAAGTCAAATTGGGTCTTATAATAAGGACCGGAGGAGTATTAATTTTTTATACGATTGACATTTTAATTTACAGCCTAATCTCTAGCAATTTATACGCGAACTTGGTTATATAAATATGTGCAGGTATCAACCACAGGGTGGTGGCATAGTGGTGGCTTCACTTTGTCTCTTAACCCAAAGTCGAGGTTTCGATTCCCCGTTTGCGCATGGAAAACTACCCATGGCTGGCGCTTTGCCCTTAAATGGAGGTACCTGGTGCGATTCGGATTAGTCTGGTTTATAATTGGATACACCTAAGAGGTGGTCCGTTCTTGCGGGGTTGGCCAGGATACCAGGTGGGAAACCAAAAAAATAGGTGCAGGTGTCCTTTTTCTTTTTTCTTTTTTCTTTTTAACAGGCTTCTGCGTTTTTGGCATAAACTTTTCGCTTATACTCCTCTGGTCCTAATTATAAGACCCAATTGACTTATTTGAGGAGATTAAGGAAGTAAGTTAAGTTGGTTATTTATAATAAATAAGTGTTGTTATTCTTAAAATATCCTTGCTAATTAAATATATTGGCTAAAAATATCATTATTAGAAGGATTATCTTGGAAAAAAATGCATAAATATAAGAGAGAAAATGGATTGGGTCTTATAATTATGACCAAATAAAAAGTCAAATTGGGTCTTATAATAAGGACCGGAGGAGTACTTTAAATTTTGATTTTTATCCGCCTATCAAATTTTTTATCTGTGCGTGAAACAAAATTATTGTGAGAAGCCAAGTGTTGTGCTGTAAATATCAATCTCAAATATAAGCTACTTATGAGGAGTTTGGCAAACTCCAAAAATATTTTTTTTTTTTAAAAATGTATGCAGGCTGAAACAAGTTTTTTTTTTTTTGCATATTCATTTTATATATCATAAAATTGTTTTTAAAATCTAATTCAAACACCGGCCACTTGATTTATTTTCTTTACTTTTATTTTTGGCTGGCATTTGATTGATTTGATGATTTGACCTCATGCAGTATGCATGTTGAGACCCTTTAGACTGCAGGTTTATCCATCTTCGTTACTCAGATGAAAAGAGATTGAAACTTGAGCAATATCAACAGCGCACCTTCAAAGGGAATTAAATTGCAATTAATTTTACTTTTAAATATAAGGTTAATATAATTTTTAGTCTCTTAAGCTTATTTTTATTTTGGTTTTGATTCATTAAATTTCTGTCAATCGAGTTTTTTTTATTTAAAACGTCAGTCTCTATAATTCAATAAATACTTGGATTATTTTGCCTTTTGAAGGATCAAAACTTATTGTTTGAATCAAAATAAAGGCAAACTTAAAAGATGACAGATTATATTAATGCTTTTTAATACTACCTATTATCATCAATAATATATGAGTTAGTTGGGAATTGAATCTGATTATAAATATAAGAGCTCAATTCATCTTATCTCCCAAATTTATAATTTATTATCTAAAGTATGCTTATTGATTATATGTGTCAAAAAGTTTTTATTCAAGAGTACTCATAGTTAGAAAAGATAATTTAGAAAAATTAACTCATATTTATTATAAACAACTAACTTAACTGATTCTTTTAATTTACTTAAATTAGTGAAATATTTTTTATATTAAGGACCGGAGGTTTTAAAAAATTATATAAGATTTTATTTGCATCTTAATTCAATAAAATACATTTTTAGTTTTTTTTAGTTAAAAATTCTCATACAAAAATATTAAAATTAAAATTTTAAGTGCTTGCCTATTGAGTT